TTTAAATAATGAGAAAAAGTATGACTACAAGAAAAAAGAACAGAAGTTGATTATTTAACTTCAGGCTACTCAAGTTGTTCATAAAATGAACTTCTTAATGACACACCCTAACTTGAAACATTTTTATTCTAAGACACACCAAGATTATTTTAAATGCCTTGACTTTTAAAGCAAGCAATAATTACATATGCATGCAAAACCTCCAAAGCCAAGGGCCAGGCAAAGCTTTCCACAGCCAGGTGCTCTGGGTTAAAGGTCCCTCAATCAAGAGAGTATAATCTTTATTTTGCCCTGGCTGCCTATAAATCCAGAAAGGAGATGTAAACATGCATACACTAGACTAAACAGCGGCTACAGAGTGGCCACTACTTACTCTCCCACTCACACATACCATCCAAGTCTGTGGGAAAAACGCAGAACTAAACTAAGGATCTCAAGTCAAGTTTTCTGAAAATAACCCAGAGCTGACAAGTCAGTAGGAGGGCCTGGATGGTTTCAAGACACAGTTTTTAACCAAGCCTTGGACCTCCAACTGTTTTCTTAAACAAAGATTTACATCCCCATCCTTGGCTAAATTACTTATAAATTAATCAAATTAATTACTCCGAGTGGATACGCGGGAGGCTGGACAAGATAGTGCTGATGTCAGCCGATGAAGTCTGCATTGCTTTAAGTAAATAGACTGCTCGTTTTAAACACGTCCACTGTGCACAAATATGGTAAAGGACCCACGTGCTACTAAAGAAAATCTTAGCTCTGCTTCCTGTCCTGGGAACAAACATGCAAGAGTTTCAAATATGTAACACAGTGAAAATGTTTAATTTTTACGACTAATTCATATTTCATAACAACGATTCAATAATTTTTTAAACAATGGCAACTTTTATTCTGCTTACAGATCAACATTCTGGAAGTGGTTTTGGTAACGTTATCATTTAGAACATGAAGACCAATGCAGTCTTAGGTATTTGTTACTATTCAAGCAGTTACTTAGGTACCTGTCTAAAAGTAGTTCTACAGCATACTTTCACAAAGAAATTAAACTGCCCCCGCATATCAAACTAGTACTCCTAATGTCCTAAGATACCAAACCCCTTGTTTTCAAATGGGGACTCATTTCATTCATATTTATTTATTTATTACAGTTATTGCCATCAATTACTAAAACAAAACTTTTTAGGAAAGCTCACAACTTGGATTGAGGCTGAGAATAAGAAGGAAAGTTTTCTTCTAGACAAGTAGAAGGTTACAATTTTTTAATTCACAAATTGACTCTACTAGGTCAGCTCTGAGTAATGGGAATCTTTCTTTAAACATTGTTCTGGCAATGGGCACGGAGCATTAGATCTTATTTCCAAGCCTTACCAGCTGGGTTTTGTCATTAACATTTATTAACAATCTAAGATATGACTTTCACCATCTAATCCGTACTACACGAATGTTTTCTACGGCCCTCCAGAGGGATTTGATGTGACAAATTACTGGCAGAGATTATAGCCTCGTGGCTATTCACCAGAGGCAATGTAAAATTAACATGGTACTAATCCAATTTAAACAGAAAAGTTGCACAAACAATTCTCTGAACAAAAGCAGAGAGACACTTCCAATTTTACATTCAAACACAAAATAAATGTGTTTCTAATAAAGAGTTTTGGAGAAAATTAGAAGTAATTTTCACACATGTGAAATGTGCCAATTTAATGAAGTTATTAATTTTAATCTTCCAAAAACAGTTAGTGGCATAGCATAATTCACTGAAGACCCCACAGGCTATTGCTTTTCTTAAATTACTGCATGGCCTGTAAAACATCTAAGGTTCCTAGTGATCTCAAAAGTTGTTTATAATATTGTTTCTAAAGCAGAAAGTTTACAGGATAAGGGATAAAATTATTCTAAAATGAGAGAGTACTAAACACATTGCACTCACTCAGAGACTATTTTTAAGCTAATAATTATTGTGTATGTATTTGCTATGTGAGATGCATACATGTGAGTAGATAGCCATGCTTATGCACACACATGTAGAGGCCAGAGCAGGGCACTGGCGCTCTTCCTCGGGTGCTGTCTGCTGTAGACCATAAGACAGGGTATGTCACTGAACCAGCAGAAAGGCTGTTTTGATTAAGTCTTGCTGGTCAGGAAGCTACCAGGATGGACTTGTCTCCTCCCACCGAAGCTGGGGTTCTGGCACACACAGCCGTGCCGCTTTTCCTAGGGGTGCTGATGATTTGAGCTCAGGTCCTCACACACAGACAGAGTGTGCTTACCCACTAGGCCCTCTCCCCAGCCCCAAGACTGCTGCTTTCGGTTTCTCCAATGGGCTAAGTTTTGGAGAAACATTTATTCAACTGTTTTCTTTCCTTAATAAAGAAACTGAATGTGTTATCCTCTCATTAGGAACAAATAATATAAATTATTTTGCCATTTTTTTAAGCCAGAGAGTGAGAATGCACAGGAAGAAAGAATAAATAGAAAATAGAGTAATATGGTTCTAGAAGACCAAAAAGCAAGGACGTAGTATTAGCCAAAGAGGAATTTTGGGGGGGTGGGAAGATTTCATAATCTTTGGCCTCATTTTTGTTCCTTCTTTAGAGTGTGTTTCCATGCAAGCCTGTGGAGGCCAGAGGTTGACACCAGTGTCTTCCTCAATCATTCTCTATCTTATTCTTTGGGACAGAGTCTCTCAGAGTGAACCTGGAGCTTGCCAATTTGGCTAGACTAGCTGGCCGGAAGCACTGCAAGCTTCCTCTGTGAGCTTCCCAGTGCCGGGCTAACTGGCGCCCTCCAGCTCCTGGCCCTTTTCAGAAGGGGGCTGGTGTTCAAGCACTGGGACTCCACGGAAGGGAGCCGGGGCCAGCTTTGGGAGAGGCCCTTTCACCCTTTCAAAAGCAGCATGCTCCTTAACTACTCTGCTCATCACTCTCCATGGGTCCTGTTCCACAGGCCTCCCTCCCTCCCTATTACACGTCTACATGCCACCTAAGTATCTTGGCACCATGACTTTATGAAGTCCAGCTGCTTCTTCCTCAAAGATAGTCAGTTTTCCTCAGAGCTGCTCTCGCTAACAGACAATGACACCATTTTGTTCTGCTAGGATATGCCAACTCATGACTTCTGCTTCAAGAAACCCTTGTCATCTGTGCACGGAATATAACGGGAAAGAGCTTGGGCTTCAGTTTCAGTTTTTAGCATGCAGTTCCTCTGTGAGAATACATGACAACAGTCTCATTTCTTCATCTGTAAAATGGGACTATGATCTGCTATCCAGGGATTTTAGAATTAAAAACGAAAATGATCTGAGATTTCAATTGTGGCACCCACACTGGAAAACCTTTCCAGACTCTACGGCTGAGCCTTCTTGCATCGTCTTTCACAGAACCTTCTCGTGACATTTCTATTGCTACAATTTGCGTTTCAAGCTTTGTTACTGGAAATGTCCCTTAAAATGGGCTCTCCTCTACTTTTTAAGACCTTTCTGACTTCATGATTCTTTGCAATAACCTCTGCAATCTCTACAGCAACTACTACTTTGCTCTGTCACAACCAGTTTTGCTATTACTATCCTAGTAACTCATCTTTAGGGGTCCATCTGAAACGCTGTCCTGACTCCAGACACCATCCCTAAGTCATAACTAACAACTTTCTCTACTGTATGGTGCTCAGGCAACAGTTACAACTGTTTCTTCCTTATTCCCGAATTCTGAGGGCGAGGTCCACTCTTATCTATTTTTATACACTGAATATAGTGTCCTGAGTTTAGGGGGATCTTACTACTGTGCAAAATGTCCACACTAGACCTGTCAACGTTAAAATAATACATTGCTAATTTGAAAATGCAAAATCTAAAATGTTCTAAAATCCAAAACTTTTTGAGCTCTATCATGCATGATGGGACTACTGTGGTCAGGAGACAGGCATATGCACATTAAAAACACTGTAATAAAAGAAAAAAATGCCTTATTACTAATAATTAATGTATTTAACTAAAACACAAGTAGATTTTGTGTTTACACATATGCAAATATAAAATATAAACAAATTCTGAAATCTAAAATATTTCTGGTCCAAACAATTTCAAATAAAGGCTACACAACTTGAGTGTATCCACTCTGTGTACTATCTATACTTAGATATTGACCTGTAATGCATAAATCTGAACACAGCTATAAGCTCCACTGGCATACATGGTCTACTACTTTGTAATTCCCATACAGTCTGGTAGTACTCTACTCTAAAAAGATCATCAGCATTAGCATAATACCACAAAGATATTGAATAGTATATGATGTACTGTTATGGAAACATACTAAAAAATATATAAATCTGAAAGACATTATATACCACATTTCACTCAGAAGTAAAGCTGACATATTTTTTAAAGTTACAGTATATTAACCAGTCATGATCTTTTAATAGCTCCAATAAATTATTTTCAAAATAAGTCTCATTCATATTCTCTTAAATCTTAATTTGAGCCATAGTTTTTTCAAATGATTAAGATGAATTTCTCATGAAAATAACATTCTTGTCTAGGAAGGGAAAATGTCAATAAAGATTTTCAGAAAACTAGTAAGTCTTTTAAACCTAAAATTATGCAAAACTCCCCTGTGACAGTTTTCATGGTTGAATAATTGTGTCTTCCTATGAAAATCATTTCAAAATGTGTTCTTAAACAGTAAATTTAGTTTATCCCCAAATTGTCCCCTTCAGTGAAGTCCTAATGAAAATGAGTTAAGGGGATGAAGTGGTTATTCATAAGTGAAATTAAGTTAATTATTTCCAACAAGAAAGCTGACAACTAAAACTAAAAAAAACAAAACAAAACAAAAAAAGCAGCTTTTAATTATGAAAAGAGGGTTCTGCACACTAAAAAACAAACCCAAACAGTCTTGATCTTTGACCACAGCACTGGAGAGGCCACTGCAAACTTCTAACATACAATGTCAAACAGGAAACTTACAAAGCAGTGAGGGGAGACAGAGTCCACTTCAACCACATACCTGCTTGAGTCTGGCAAGTTCTTTCAAAGCTCGTCCCCACTGCTGCTTGTAATGCAGTTTAGACTTGGTTGCAGATTCCAACTTTCTTTCAAGTTCAACCTAACAGTGATTAAAATCATATCAAGTGAAACACTATACCACTGTGTGCAATCACTGAAAGATAATATATACAAAGAGTCGGGCTTAAGAAAAGAGTTTATACAGCGTGACATATGACATAGTCTAAAGCTGTTACATAATTTACTATAAATATTATGGCACATGAACATTTTCTTGTTTAAAATATAGTATTATTTTTATTGCCTTGCAGGCTAGACTAAAAAGAACTGAATTAGTCTTAACCTCCAGACAGTTACTATAAATGTGTATATTACACAGAGTGAAAAATACATTCATTTTTTAACAAAAGACAGCTCTAACTGTTAACATTCCACGTTAGCTGGCGCTCTAATCTCAGTAGGCTGACTTTCCTTGTGAGGCCCATGATTAGGTGGAATTCTGTCCTGTAATAAGGAGAGCTGGGGAGATACTTTAACTTTTGGCAAAAACATAGAGCCCTGGAAATGGTGCACTGTTTTATCAGAAAGCAAATTACTAAAAGATGCAAAGTCAAAAAATGTAAAAATATTTTAAGAATGTTAAAATAAACCCAAGAGGAAGAAAAAAATAATGTTCCTCAATAACACACATCTCACTTTTATTTTCTATCTTTCCTGAAATATATAAAGAAAAACACTAAAGTGATTAAATTAAAAATCTGGTTATTTATGCTTGCAGCAGGCAATCTGTTGTACATGAACTAAAGCCAACTTGGCTATGTTCTGGAATGTACTCACTCAGTGCTTAAAAATCATGTACCAAGCAAATTCATGTAGCCAGCAGACAGTTTTACTATTAAGTGATAATATAATAATCTGCTTGAATTACAGTACAACACTGCTACTCTGAACTAGCTGATTTTTTTTAAAAAATCAAGTTTAGTTTTTCTCATAGATACAACTCCTAATGTTTTAGGAGAAAAACAAAAATGAAGACACTATAAAAAGTCTAATGTTAGAAGATTCAGAGCAAAATCAAATGACAGGAAAAGCAGACTGCCAACTCCCCGTCACAAAGGACCAGAACATTCCCTGCAGTTATATATGACTACTTGGAGTGGAGGTCTTTGTGCTTTGCAAATCCCTAGTGCTTGGATTCAGATGTGTTGACATTTCACAACTAGACTCAAGCATCTTGAGCTGAATGATATTGCTGAGATTACTGGAGATAATCCCTCCACTTACGCCCAGTGATTCATATACTTCACTTGGTAATTTAACAACAAGCCATACCTCAGTGGAGCAGAGACAGTCTCTGAGAGCATGCATATGGGGCCTGGACAAGGTCTGGACCAGACCAAGGATGAGGCCTGATGGACCTACTCCAACAGTAAGGACTAGACAGTTCTATCAATTTTGCATAAATATAAAGATAATTCATACTTTAATAGTTACATACACTAATTTAAAACGTGTCATTCTGCATATAATATTTTTATTTCTAAAAACTTACCGGCAAATCTGAGGCACCAATCCATTCTGATCAATAATCCCTAACTACTTTTTCTTAAGGATATGGTGCTTATGATTCTAAAGAATTATATGGACCCAAATCCTTGAATAATACATGTAGCCAAAAATTTTTGGGTTTTATTTAATTTTATTACTCACTAACACTAAAATATAATAACTTCTCTTTTCCCTCCCTACACTTGCTCCCATGTCCCCTCCAGTCCCTCTCACACTCAGGACCTCTTTTTCTTTTATTATTGTTTACATATATATATGTGTGTGTGATGTATGTATGTATGTGTGTATGTTTGCATAGATATATAAAACAAGCAGCTAAATCCATTTAATGTTGCTTGCATGTATATGTTCTAGGGCTGACCACTTTGTATTGAAGAGCCAGTTGGGGATCATCCCTGGGAAAAGCTCTCTCTCCCTTTCTCAGTCTCTTGGTGCCTATTGTTCTTTGCTTAGGGGGCGGGACCCAGTGAGATTCCCCTCCAAGTTAGCATTTATACTGCCTTTGTTCAGGTCTTGGTTAGGCATACATAAAGCTGAGGTGTGTGCGTGTGTGCATGTGGTGGGGGAGCATCTATCTCCAAACACACATTCTTAGACGACTTCCAAATTGTTAATATAATTTCAGGGCACACAAAAGCCAGCCTAAAGTCCTTAATGTTAGTGGTTTCTTTGACTTCTTGTCCTCTTGCACTAACAGGGGTGGCGCAACAGGTGTGCACTACCATCCCAGGCTTGCAATTTTATTTATGGTTTCATTGTTCCATGACTGAAGTGACACACCATCAGCTAAGTTAAATGGCCCTGAAACAAGATAGCTCAGGACCTAAGTCAACCCAGATTGCAAAAGAAAATTTCCTGATTCCCCTATGATGGCACAACATTCTCTTTGTCTTTTATCCATTCCCAGGTCTAACCCCTCACAAGGAGCTACCTATTTGTCCCTTGAACACAGATTTTCCTTTTCCGTTTCTATCGTCACATGTGCAGCCCAAGCTCTTCTCCTCTCCCCTTGACAATAAGAGTCTCATATCATCCCAGTTTTAAATATGTTTGCAAGTCCTGCAAACTGCTATCAATTCACTCTATACTGACAAATTTGCTACCACTATTTGCCTAGGATCCAAAATGTAATTTCTGTACTTCTTGCTCAACCTACTTCAGGGTTTTACATAGGAAACCCCAGCACCCAGTCATGTTTGTGTCCCTGTATCCTGCAGCCCTCTTCAACCAGCTTCATGGCCTACCAATTCTTTTCTTGTTTCTTTCTTCTGCTTGCCTAAATTGTAGAGTTCCCCTCAGATTTTACCTCTATACAAGGCTGTTTAAACCTACTATATGGAACACCAAATGGTTTCCTTTGGATTAAATTAGTCATGGTCATTTACTACTCCAAGTCATCTCTGAAATCATGCAACCGTGTTTAAAAGTGAAACATCCAAAGGAAAACATGCTTTCCCTCTCTGCCATCTTTCCTATTTGTTCTAAGAGTGGTGACACACTAGATACCAAAATATTCTTAAATATGACACAAATTTTAGCATGATTAAAAATGCTGACATTCTTTTACTATGTTGATTTTTCAAACTCTGTATGTGCTACTAAAATATATGCTTTCCATATTTTAAAGTGCCAACCATTTAAAAACTATGTAAGCAGCATTTTCTTGCTAGGTGAAAGAAAACTCCCATGCTCGAGTGCCATGGCTCACATGCGTAATCTCAGCGCCCGGCTGGGGCCATCAACTGGGTGCTAGGCCGTCTTGAGGTAAGGTAGAAGACAGGTTTCAGAACCGTGGGGGGGGGGGCAGGAGCTGTGAGATGACTCAGGGTAGAAGCACTTGCAACATAAGCCTGGGAGCTCACAGTGGACGAGGGAACCAGCTCCCAGGAGCTGTCGTCCGGCATCCACACACGCATCATGGCATGCAAGTGCCTGCACTCACACAGGCACATATACAACAGTAAACTACTTACTTTTGTAATAATAAAAGAAATCAAGAGTTACTTGGTAAAAGTTTAACTTTGTGTTAACTTTAGACTCTTTCGGTGAAAATGAATAGATATGTTATATTAGGAACAGGTAGGTAGGCAAGGTGTCATAATCCCAACACTAACAGGGCAAAAGCAGGCAGATCTCTATAAATTCAAGGTCAGCCACAGCTACCATAGTGCATCTGTCTTAAAAAAAAAAAAAAAAGAAAGAAAGAAACAACAACAAAAAGCCAAGTTCTTCCTCAGACTCTGGTAAGCCAGTTCAGACAGTTTCACTGGCTGGCATTTCCATGCTTTTTATCTGTTACTATTTCAGAATAAGACACTGCCCTCTTCTGGTTCCCAAAAGACTTACAAGAAAATTCTAAAAAAGCTAAAAAGTTGTTCTACTGTATACTTAAAACATGCTGGAAGCATGCTTTTGTTCTACTAGAGACAGTTCACAGACCATTCCTCTCAGCACATTCCTGGTACTCTTTTGTTCTTTGTGTTTTTTAAACAGGGTTTCTCTGTGGCTTTGAAGGCTGTCCTGGAACTCACTCTGTAGACCAGGATGGTCTCAAATTCAGAGATCCACCTGCCTCTACCTTTGGAGTGCTGGGACTAAAGGCGTGCGCCACCACCACCCAGCATACATAATTCTTAATATTTAATGGTTAATGAGTCTTGTTCTTTTCATTACGCATAACAGGAAAAATGAAGTTTAAAAGTAACTTGAGTTTTTATTTCTATGGCGGACCCTATGGTGTAAAAATACAAAATTTTTAAAGAATATGAAAGTAGTTGTTAGTGGATGAGACTGAGTTTTGTTTTTGAGATAACTGAGGTATGAGAATCGTCAAATGAGAGTCTGACCTCAGGTTTCAGGAGGTCAAAATTACTTTCACAATAATGCTGAGGCGTCACTGTCTTTTTTTCATTCCTTGATGAGTGGATTTGGGGAGAGGGTGTACATGTGAAGGCAACTTTGGAGACTTATTTCTCTCCTTCCACAGGGCTCCAAAGGTGGTTCCAAGGGTGCAACTCAGGCTGTACAGTTGGTATCATACACCCTAGCTACCGAGCCTTTTTGCCTACCTCAGGTTTTATATTTTAAATGAATAAGTATTTTAATGCACTTCTAGTTTTATCTTTTAAGCCAGCAGTCTAATCAATCTAATCAATAACACTCTTATCTATAGATAAGAAATATATCCTTTTCCTGTGATGTGTTAAAGGGTCTTGAGAGCAAACAGTTTAGAACTGCTACTCAGAGGAACTCAAGACAAAGCTTTTTATTTTTTTTATTTTATTATTTTCTCTCTCTCTTTTTTTTTTTTTGTTTTTATGGGACAGGGTTTCTCTGTATTGTTTTGGAGGCTGTCGGTCCAGCCTGGCCTCGAACTCACAGAGATCTGCCTGCCTCTGCCTCCCGAGTGCTGGGATTAAAGGCGTGTGCCACCACTGCCCGGCGACAAAGCTTTTTAGTAGATCATTATATTCAGATCTTTCTTTAAAGAGGCAGGTCATATCCTCCAAGAAAAGGAAGGAAGGAAGGAAGGAAGGAAGGAAGGAAGGAAGGAAGGAAGGAAGGAAGGAAGGAAGGAAGGAAGGAAGGATCTTAACTATGTAACTCTGGCTGTCCTCAAACTCATTCTGTAGACTAGGCTGGCCTCAAAGTCACAGAGATTCACCTGCCTCTGCCTCCCAAGTGCTGGGATTAAAGGTGTGGGCCACTACATCAGGCCTGTTCATACCTCTTATATCCTTATATATTAAACAATAGTTGGATTTCTTTTCAAAAAATGTAAAGATCCATTACTCTACTACTTAAAAGTTGGATACTATTCAAGGGTTTTATGTTTGTTGTTTTTAAAATATTTTTTCCATTTTAAATAAAATCATTTATTCTACTTAATTCACAAATAAAAACAGGAAGCTAGTTTCAGGAAGCCACTCAAACATTTGCCTAGTCACAAACTCTCCATCTCTGTGAACTCGGTCTTCAGTTAAAATGGTCATTCTATAGTAATGGAGTTCTACTGAGAGTTTTGCTCTTTCACCATCAAAGACAAGAAAACCTGTGATAAAATTCAAACTAGAAGAAACAACTTAGCTTTATACCCTGTGCATGGCCAATGCATTCCTTGCTTGCATTCCATCCCTCAATTTCAAAGCTGTCGATTTTACTTACAAACAGAAAATATAACATAGAAAGTAACAGCAATGTTAAAAGACAAAGTTTAAATAAAAGAGAAAATGCCCCAGGTTCTATGCTAAGCGTTTTGTTCATTTTATTACCCCTGCTTAAACAATACGAAATAAATAGAAGAAGCTATCAACTGTGACACAACTAAGTGGCCGAGTCAGAGTGTGGGACGGTCACATGGATATGTGTCCAAGATGGCAACTGCCATTATGCATGACTCAGAGAAACCTAATTCCCTTGACATGGCTTTAAAAGCCAGTGTTTTAAACCTACCTGGTGCACGCTATACTCTAGGCTGGCCGTCTGTGAGTTCTAATTCTCGCCTCAGTGCCTCTGAAGGACTCCCTGGACAACTTCTCACAGCTCTCTGCATTGTTGTTTCCTCCTCTTCTCAGATCTCAACGCATATGCCCACCTTTGGATGGCTGTTGGATATTCACACTTTTTAAAAAATATTTTATGGAGCTAGAGAGATGGCTCAGCAGTTAAGAGCACTTGTGGCTCTTCCAGAGGACCCAAGTTCAGTTCCCAGCACCTGTAACTCCAGCTCTAAGGGATCAGATGCCCTCTGTGACTTCTGTGGGTACCTGCACATTCATGGCATACACTCATGCAAATATATATACACATAAACATACATGTATATATATGTACATATATATATATACACACACACATATAGTAAAGCTCAATCTTATAAAAGTGTGTGTGTGTGTGTGTGTGTGTGTGTGTGTGTGTGTGTGTGTGTACCAGAACCCACATGTGGAAGTCAAAGGAAAGCTTGCAGTAGGCATTTCTGTCCTTCCTAGAGCTTGAACCCAGGTCATCAGGCTGGGCAACGGGCACCTTCTCCCACTGTGTCATCCTAGGTCCTGACGTCATACTCTGCAATGGCTAACCACTGCACAATCTGCTTATGGGGAATTCCAGTATGAATGGCAGGCACGAGCGCATCTGAACCACAGAAAACAAAGCAGAATGAATATACCTTCTCTAAGCTAAAGGCTAGGGAATGTGGGTCTCTGCTCCTGTGCAGGACATCAAGTCCAGAAAGCAGAGAAACAGAACCATAACAAAGATCACCACAACACTGAAAGGCCAGCACTAGAAACAGGATCTAAGATCCTGGATATGGCAACAGTAGGAGCACCCTGAGTACACGGAAACGCCCCTGGCTATACCTTGCTTCTAAACGCACCTACTCCCATTTTAAGCCTGGTCTTTCACCTTCTGACAGTTTTTTGTTTGTTTGCTTTTTTGAGACAGTTTCTCTGTGTAGCCGTAGCTGCCCTGGAACTTAACTCTGTAGACCAGGCTGTCCTGGAACTAACAAGAGATCTGCCTGCCTCTGCCTCCCAAGGACTAGGATTAAAGGTGTGTGCCACCACTGTCCAGCCCTGACAGCTTTTAAATTCCTTTATTCCTATAATGGTCAGTTCTGTTCACGCAGGCACAACCAATTGAACCCGCCACACACCTTGCGTTCTCTGCAGAGTGGCACAGCAATGTAGACACTCAAATTAGTAGTGACTTTGAGTTGATCACTGGAGCTAGTTATGCTGACAGGAGCTGACATAGGTACCTTTTCCAGGGTGAGGAGATTTATGTCCGACTGCAACCGTATCTCTGGTTTGTTGCTTTGTTGATCCTTTAACTGGTGGAATTCTTTTTCCAAAATCTTATACTTTTTCTCAGCATCATTAAGCTGTACATAGAGAGACAGTATATTAGAGCCATTGCATGTAGCTGTTTGAAAGCAATCATGAGCCCATCTTGACATTGTACAATTTGATCAACACTTTGTCATTATTACCCAAAAGCATGCCATGGTAGAATATTTGGAAAACTCGCAAAAGAAGGAAAAGCCTTTTCTTCTTAAGAATTAGGTTAAAAAAAAAAATCAAGGATCAAAGGGCCAAACTCCTAAAGGAATCCCAAAGACCCAAGGGGTAATGAGGAGCAGAGAGTTCTGATGAAAGCTCCCAAACCCTAAGTTATGGGGAAGGGGGAGGGGGCGGCTTCATTAAGTACTTAACAGAGGGCAGAAACATGTTCATTTGGCTGAGCACGGTGGCTCTGTAAGCGATGCAACATTTGCAATCTTTAGAAGAAGCTGCTGCTACCTACATGACAAGTTTCTACATATTCAGTTTTCCAAAATCAGCAGAAACCATTCTGAGGTGATCTCACTTTTAAAAATCCCTTTGCTTTTGTGTGCATGATGTATGTGCTGGAAGTCAGTATCAGCATCTGTCACCTACTCTCCATCTACTCTGAAAGGAGGTTTCTGTCTCATTGAACCCGGAGCAGTCACCGACTGACTGATGTGCTGAACCCCAGGGAGCCTCCTGCCTCTGCCTCCCAGTACTGAGATTGTAGGTGCATGTCACCATGCCCAGCTTTTTACATAGCTAGTTGGATCCCAACTCAGGTCCAGATGTTTGCTCAGCCAGTACCTTCTATGACCATGCCAACTTCCTAGCCCCGACTTTTATATTTTAAGCAAGAAATACAGTAATAGTATATTTGGTTCTTCACCATTCACAGACATTGTCATATGCAATTATTGTCATTACAACCCAGTTAAAAAGGTAAAAGCTATTAGGGCATGATGGATTCTGTCATTGGGACGACATCTATCACTGAGTTCCAGTGCCTGCTTTTACCTATTTGAATACAGGTACTTTTACCTTCATCCGTTCTCTTTGTGTTTAACTGTCTCTTCTACCAGTCTAATTAGAATAGCATATTTAATATATAAAACCATGTCATTGTAATGGTCCCACATTTTTCTTATGCCTAAAATGTGACATGTACATGTCAAAGACTTTGCTTATGCTCCTTGAGAAAACTGGAAAATTCATCCATCTCTCTCCTGATTAAAACTGTGCATCAAGAATAAAATTGTGCCTTGGATAACTTTTCCAAAATACAAATTCTCACCAAGGTTCTTACAGAACTGTGAGTCAGTGACCCCATCTTGGGATGGTGTGGATGTGATAGGAGATGGAAGTGTGTGTTTCAAGCACTCCCTTGATCCGTGATGCCTTTGCTCTAGATGACTAAACCTTGAGATGAAAGAAAAGCACTACTAATGGTGAGTCTCATGATAATACCTACATTTGTATGTTAACTTGATTTTTACTGTGGGTCTCATTTAATATTTACAGCCATGTAAACAATGTGGGTGAGAGAACCTTGAGCTACTATGGAAACTATTCATAACAGAAGGCTCTGAAGCATTCATCATACACATCTAATCTACACTGAAATTTTTCAAGAAAGATAAGCTGAATTTTAAACAGCCTGGTCTTTTGCCTCCCTTTCCTACAAATATTTATTGAGCCCCTATCACTGCCGACACCCAGGCTGGGCTCCAGGACAGTGCTATAAACCAAACAGTTTTTATGGAGTAACAATCTGAAACTGATTGGATGGTCATTAAATGAAAAGAACTGGTACACTGTAAAGAAAAAGAAAGTGATATTACAGAAGTGCATTTAACAAAAGCTTAGCTGGACTTGGAAGTATCTGGGGTAAGTGACATTTTGCTCAAATTAAAGGAAGGATGTAGAATTTACAGGGCCCATGGCAAACAGAACACAATGAGTCTTGTGGGGAAAACTAGCAAGGTGTGCTGACGGGAGAGCAGCGTAGTCAGAAAGCACACAGTAGAGGTGAACAGGAGGATGATGTCAGGCACACAGGTGGGTAGAAACTGTCACAAGTTATGGGGCCAGTAACCCTCATCACCACCCTATGAATGGTGGAAAGGCAGGGGAAGGTTTTCAAAAGCGACATGCTTCCCAATTTTCAAAACTACCTGGCTGCAACATGAACTCAGATGGCCTGTCATCAACACAAATGACATGGTAAGTATAGTGGAAAGACTGGTTTAAAGTGCCTTTAAAATGTCCATGTAAGGATATCAAAAGAGCAATGTGAAGTGGAGGACGAGAGTGCAGAGAAAAGGTCTTGACTCTAACTGTGGAGGAAGAGCAGGAGTAAGCCCTGAGCTTGGAACAAGCTGGAAGCCTAATGGCTAGACAAGGGGAAAGAGAAAGGCTGCAGGATGGCACAGATGAGGCCGAGAGTGGAGGAAGGTGTGTGTGTTTGCGGGGGAGCAGGGGGCAATAGTTGAGAAGGGGATAGTAAAACTAAGAACAAGTGTTGATGTGGGCACAGTCAGCAAATGTGAACATGAGGATGCCCGTTCCACCTAAGTGACCTGGCTAGGGAGAACTCCAGCAACTGCCTCCTGGAGCGATGGGCACATGAACGGACTGAAACGGAGGCAGCAAGAAGAAGACAGACACTTGTCTTACAAAATGTAGCTTCTAGAAAGCACGGGATTATTTTGGTATACTTCTAGCATTCAGGTCCTAACAAATGTCTACGTTGCTAAAAGGACATTTACAGAAAAAGCTTTTACATTTTAAGTTACCTGGAATCCTACAGTTTCACACAAATGGTTCTAAGGGTAAGAAAATTATAGTAATACAGTCCCTTAGCTTTAGCTTAAAAACATCCCACTTAAATTGGAATCTCTGCAGTAAATACACCAGTCCAAATCACAGTGAGTTTCAGCACTTTGGTTCTAGAACCAGACAACTCAGCACCTGCTGCTGAAGCCGGTGCTTGTCCTCTTCCAGCTGCTTCAGCTTCCGCCTCTCCAGCTCCACTTGGTGAACACAGTCGTCTTTGGCCCTGCGGACAGAGTCCTGAAGTTCCTGAAGGTTCCGCTCCCGCTCTGACTGCAGTTCCTTTCTCTCTCTCTGAAGCTGAAGGGAAACACATCCTTAGCAGGCTAGCGGATCACTAGTTGCATGATGCTGTCGTCTCCTAGCCTTAGATTAGTCAAGGTCAAATACTTATAAACTGACTTGAGGAGATGGTTCAGTCCACAAAGTAGTTGCCTCATAAGCACAGTAGCCTGAACATGACCCCAGCACCCACATATGAAAGCACAGTGGGGCACACTGTATTCCCAGGGCTGGGGAGGAAGAAATTGGCAGATCCTGGAGCTCTACAGAAAGTTCAGCCTGCTTATCAGTCTGTGGAATTCATTCCTAAGAAAACTCAAGGCTGGCCTCTGGCCTCCACCAGCATGCACAAACAAGTGCACGTGCGTGCCAAAATGCATGCGCACATGCATACACTACAAACTTAATTCATGCCCTCTTTAGTCATTAGGCTTAAATGTTTATACATACTGATTTTCAATTAGTCAATGCTAATATTGTACAAGCCACACAACTTATATATACAGTTGACAGGGTCCTAACCACTTAAAACTCTTATTTTTATTTTATAAAAATGTGACTGAGTTTGTTTCTTCAACTAGAAGTTTCTAATTTCTGCCTAACCATTTAGAAGATAGATTTAATTAGGCCAATACACCTAACTCATTTAAAAACTCTAGAAATGTAAATGATAAAGTCAGAGTATTTATCGATGAAATCTTAAACATTACAGTTAGAAAAGAGACATATAAACAATATTGTAGTTACTTTTATGTTTTATAAGTTTAACATAATTTATGTGAATTATACATTTGTATTTTACAGAAAAGTCCTAGGGTGTAATTTAGTTAATACCTAATACACTGTTAACTATATATGATGTTACAACAAATTTCCATACGTCTTGGGATCCAATTTGTTTTTGTGTTTTTTGTGTTTTGTTTTGGTTTGGTTTTTTTCCCGAGACAGGGTTTCTCTGTGGCTTTGGAGGCTGTCCTGGAACTCGCTTAGTAGACCAGGCTGGTCCTGAACTCACAGAGATCTACATGCCTCTGCTTTCCAAGTGCTGGGATTAAAAGTATGTGCCACCACCACCTGGCGTAAAACACTAAAAATTCTTGCACAGAATGGTTAAGTTACCATAAAACCACTACTGCAGAAGTGAGCAAAAGTGGTTCAGTGACATGGCTCCTCTGCTGAATCCTAGCATCCTAACACATCGTCTCTGTGTCTGAAACACAATAACCATGCAATGCCTGTCACATAATCAGAGAACAATCGAGATAAGGGGGTGGACTCCACAACCCAGGGCACCAAGGTCAGGGAGATGTGGTACCTCCACTTCCGCACTGGCAAGCTGCTGCTCTCGGTTCTCAAGCTCAGTGAGGGCTTTTTGAAGTTTGCCTTCTAGAATACTGTATTCAGCTACCTAAAATACAGAAAAATAAAAATGATCTTCATGTTCAAGAAAACACAGTGCATGTCTCAAAGGTCTCCCCCAATGCACACTTCATTTTACTGTAGTCTGCAAAATTTTTAAGACCAATCACCTATCTTAGTGCTTCCTAGGACACAAGATGCTTCCAAAATAGAGCACTTTAAGACAAAATGAAATCTTTACTTTCAAAAATGTACTTGGGATGAGAGAGATGACTCCACATCTGCCTTTGAATGTGAGGGATACGAGGCAGCATTAAGATCTACTTGCTTTTACTTCCAGTTTCATTCATTTGTGACATCAGAGATGGAACCCAGGATGCCGTGTACCTGCTATAACCCAGCCGCAGCTGCAGCCTCAGAGCCAGCCTTCTCAAGAGCTACTAAGTAGCCCTGGGCTCATAAACTCAAGCTCAGATGCTAGAAATGGCAGTATACATGGAAACCAATAAAAATGTCAACTGGAGAGAATCTTTACCACCAAAAGAGCAAACCAAAACTTACGTGCTGAAGCTTTTCTGTCACGTGTTTTGCAATGCTGAGGATTGAATGTGAGGCCATGTACATGCTAGCCATGTGTGCCTACCACTGCGCTACGTCCTAGTTGGTATGGTTCATTTCTTCATTTTAAACTCTTGATATTGAAACCAATTTCTTTGAGGAGAGCAAGAGCACAAGCTGGATTTGTCCCACTGTGGCAATTTTATTAATTTCTCAAATTAGTTCATCGTTTGAATTTTCAAACTTTAACATTTAAAAAAGTCATTAGCATAAAAAAGTAAAAACCTCAAAACATTAACTTGCTGCCCAGCTCTCTTGAATTCAACAATATACAATACATGAATTCTCCCCACAATTCTTCTTATACAGAGCAGTAGATGAGGACAATATTTAAGACATGCGCAGGCCCATTTAATGACCATTTCTTAGGAACGGAGACTTTAAAGTGTTCTTTTCTTTTGGCTTTGCTCAAGGCTCATTAGTTACTCGTCTGTCTGTCTTGTTCTGGGAACTAGAAAGTTTATTCCTTCCAAAGACTCTGCAATGTACCTAGAAGCCATCACAAATGTTCTCCCTTTGCTCTCTGTTTTCACAGGTTTTTTTCTGTACCTTTTTCTTCACTAGTGACTCTCTTTCCCGGTCCCTTTTTCTCCATTCTTCTGCAAGAGCTTGCATGTGAGCCAGTTCTTTCTGCTTTAGCTATAAAAGGAAGAAACAGTCACTTGAAAATGGCAAATATTTCAAATAAGCAAAAGAAGTTTTCAGTTTAGGAACTAATGGATTACCAATGGCATTTAAAACATTGTTTTGTCCTTTTTTTTTTTATGTGTATGGATGTTCTGTCTGCATGTATGTCTGTGTACTCCATGCATGCCTGGTGCCCAACGAGGCCAGAAGAGGGCACTGGGTCCTCAGGGCTGAAGTCATCTGAGAGGAGGGAACCTCAGTTAAGAAAACGCCTCCACAAGATTTGGCTGTACACAAGCCTATAGGATATTTTCTTAATGAATGAGTAATTTGGAAGTACCCAACCCAGGGTGGTGTCATCCCTGGGCTGGTGGTCTCAGGTTCTATAAAGAAAAGCAAGCAAGAAAGCCATGTGTAGCAAGCCAGTAAGCAGCAGCCCTCTGTGTGGCTGGAGAGAGGGCTCGCCAGTAAGAGCTCAGACTGCTCTTACAGTGGACCCAACTTTGGTTCCCAGCAGCCACATCAGGCAGCTCACAAGCACCTATAACTGCAACTCCAGGGGATCCAATGTCCTCTTCTCGTCTCCATGGGCAACTGCACTCGTGTGCACATACCCACACCAACACACATGCATACATATGGCTAAAAAAATAAAAATAAATCTTAAAATGTTGTTGATAGTCAAAGATAGACAAGACCATGGAGAGAAAACCCAGCTGTAGAGAAGGAAAACATAAAGGAGGTAGACGAAACAGAGATTTTAGAATACAATTTCAGTCTACCTGACTTTCAAATATGTCTTCCTGCATCTCTTTCCACATCTCTAGCTCAAGCGCAGCCTTGTACTCTAAGGTCTCTCGAGGCTCCATCTGGATCTCAGAAGGACACGGAGCTGGAGGAGGAGAGGACAGCTTCTGCTGCACAGCAGACAAACCCTACGATGTGAAAGAGAGTGTATGTGACACGTGCACATTTATACACCTTCATTCCTGGTTAGGGACTCTGACGACAAATATATTTACCTGAGACGAATCAGATACAAAGATCTCACGCATTTTCACTAGTCCATAGTCTTCCAGAGTCACCGTGTAAGAAAGATCCACTATCCTGTTATTTGATCTACAAATGAAATGGGAATTTTCTTCAGGTTCACAGACACTTGCTTTTCTTTCCACTGCCTAGCCTAGAGCATGCAGGAGTAGCATTTCTTGCACCCCACTCTTGCTGCTTACGCTGGGCCGGCATCCTTCATGGCCTCTCAAATGTGTGCTTTTACTTGAGCAGCACAGTATCTTAATACTTACATTTAAGCATTACATACCTAAGCAGCTGTGTACTTGTTCTGAGAAATGAAAAGGCAAAATAAAAAGTGAGACAGCCACAGATAATTATTGGCAATGGACATTTCCTCTCTTGGCTGGCCTGGAACTTGCTATGTAGGCCAGGCCAGCCTTACACTCACAAAGGTCAGCCTACTCTGCCTCCTGAGTGCTGGGATTAAAAGGGTGAGCAGCCACACTGCATTTACTTCCTATTCTCTGTTCCTCTGCAGATGTACAAGCATGCACACTGACAGCTCTATCTTTTTCTTGTTTGAATTAGTTCTCATGTCATACACATGAATTTTTAAATGTGAGGGGTCTTTTTCATAGTTTTGTTTTGTTGTTGGGTCTTTATGCATGCTGGGCAACAGTTTTTCCACCCAACTACATCCAGCACAAAAATGTAATTTTTACTGTCTCTGAAATACATTTAATGCATTTACAGTGAGAGATACTCAGCAGCCCCCCCACCTGCTTATTAAGTTATTCAAAATTTGCCTCCTTTCTGGAATGAATACACACACACATTAATCTTTTCCTGGTAAGGCAATTATATACTATTTTAGCCATAACTAGAATCTTCCATATCACAGAACTGTATTACTTATTAAACAACAAAAAAAAGCAAAACATTCAAGGAAAAGGAAAGTTTAGCAACTAAAAACATAATAATATTGTCTAAAAACAAAACTTCAATAAATAGATCTCATATAATTAATTGCTCTTTAGGTAACCAAATCCACATTATTTTTCTTCCAGCTTCGGTTTTTTTTTTTTTTTTTTTTTTTTTTTAATGAAGTACTTGGGCCAGCAAGATGGCCCAGTGGATACAGGCGCTTCCTACCAAGCCTGACAACCTGAGCTGAATCCCCGAACCCAGAAGAAAACCAACTCCACAAGGTGGTCCTCTGACCTCCACACATATGCCATAGCAAACACAAGGTAAAAGAAAAGATGTTTAAGCGAAACACTACTATGTTGGAGAAAAAGCTTGAACACAACTGAAGTTCTCAGTGAATCTAAAACTTCTGTCTACAAATCAGAAAATAACTAAAGAACATTAAACAGCTTCAACTACCACTGACTTGATTATATTCTTATGACAACAAAAAGAATGCTGGGCTTTAAGAGAGAGTTTTTTTCTGTAACAGAATGAAGTAAAATAACTGTTAACAGATAACGGATTCTCCAGGCACTGTTCCATATCCACAAAGGAAAGAAAGCTTTTCACAAACCTCCCCATCTCTGGCTGTGACTCGGGGTGGATAAGAGTAAAGTGAATTTTTAGTGGTACCTTTACATCTCAGATTTTTGCTGAACCTTGTTTTTTTTTTCTTTCTACATTCTCACTAGGTTTTTATTTAGAGGATAAATGGTATATAATATTGACTTGAACTTCAATTTTTATTTAATGTTAACTCAAAAAGGTAGTTTGACAAATTTCAATGATTAAAATATGAAAACATGTTTTTACTGTAGCAATAAAATTCAAAAAATAACCCAGAGCAACTTGAGGAGAAAGGATTTTATTTGGCTGACAGATTACAGTCCATTGCTGAGGGAAGTCAGGGCAGGAACTAAAGGATGGCAGGATGCTGCTTATGTGACCTTTCTGTCTCGTGCTCAGGAGCTTTCTCACACACTCCACAGAGATGGTACCACACGCACACACAGTGGGCTGGGCTCTCACGAGAGTTAGCAGTATGGCAATGCCACACAGATATGCCCACAGACCTATCTGGTCAAGGCAAGTCCTTCTTCCATGATGGCTCTAGGTCATGTTAAGTTGACAAAACCAACCAGAGCACTCTTGTTATTCTCTTGTAGGTGCTGGTGTCTGAAGCCAGGGATTGGTGTGTGCCAGACAAGTGTCTTATCACTGCTATTCCCAAGCCATGAGTGATAATACAACTTAAAACCCGTTACTGAAAACTAGTATTTATATCATTCTCAGGCTTTAAATTTCAGGCAAATCTTAAAATATTTTTCAAGTGGAAAAAAACCACAGCTGAGGATTAGACTTGCTGCACTGTTTTTATCTCAGGGATATTATAAAACTTAGGAGAATTTTGACTTTTTTTTGTTTTACAGTTAAATTTCCACAAAGTGCAATAAACATGTAACAATGACAACAAAAAAGATCATAGCATTCCTAATGAAAAATAACACAAAATATATTATAAACTTAAAATAATGAGATCAAATGGCATATCCTAATAACTGGTCTAGAGCTTGGCAGCAGATCCCCAGCTCAATGTGCACAAAGCCCTGGACAAGACCCCAGCATTGCAAATAAAACAAAAGCAAACACCATAGTAAATAACAGCTCCTTTTGAAAATCATCAAACCAAGGGCTGGAGAGATGGTTCAACTGTCAAGAGAACTTGCTACTCTTGCAATACCCAAGTTTGGTTTCCAGCACCCAGATCAGGTAGCTTACCAGGGCCTGTAACTCCAGATCCAAAGAATCTGATGCTGTCTTCTGGTCTCCACATGTGGTACACATACATATATAATCAGACCCCACCCTCCCATACACACACATAGGCTAGGGGCAGTGAGAAGGTTTAGAGAGGCTCTGTACACAGGCCTGACAACCTGAGTTCTGTGGTGATATCTTATTTGTACAAATAAAGCCTATCTGAGGGTCAGAGAATGGAGCTTGCCACTAGCTAACCATAGAGGTCTGGAGGTCTGTACAGACAGACAAGAAGTGAGGTATCTGGGTAGAAACAGGATATAAGCAGAAGCAGGAAATCGCTCTTTTTTTTTTTTTTTTTTTTTTTTTTTTTTGGTTTTTCGAGACAGGGTTTCTCTGTATTGTTTTGGAGGCTATCGGTCCAGCCCAGCCTCGAACAGGAAATCGCTCTTATCTGCTGAGAAGCTAAGCAGTTAAGATGTGCTGTGGCTTGCTCCTTCTCTCTGATCTCTCAGCATTTCCCTCTATAGCTGACTCCAGCTCTTTATTATCTAGACCAGTTAAGAACTCCATTTACAGAGTTCAATCCTTATATCTCACAGGTGGCAGGAGAGAACACACACACACACACACACACACACGCGTGCGCGCGCGCACTAATATTCCCTTTGTCTCACAATATATAAATAAAATTCTCAGGCTAAGGGTGAAAAGGACCACCACTAAGTGGTCTAAATAGGAATCATGATACCATAGCCACAAAAATTTTACTTTTCTAATTAAATAGGCATCAAAAAGCTAATAAGCCAACCACAAGAAACTCATCCCCAGGTCAAAGAAAAGCATTCAGAAAGAAGACCCGAGGGACTAAGGGTTTGGTTTCTTGGCCAGATTCATCAAAAGAAAGAGGGGCAAAGAGAGCCAGTGCTGTGCAAGGCTTACCCCTGTGCTGCCATAACAGGCACACTCTCGCTGTAAGTCTGCCGCCAGCACTGCTCACCATTAGCACCCAGAAACCGGGTCTTTTCTGCAGAAAAGATGTTAGAAAGTTGGACTCTTGCAATCCCAAGGAGTAGGTCCTTACTCATTTTATCCTTGTGCCATAGTTCAACCAGCAGTGGGATCCTAAGGAGAGAAAACCATGTCCACACTGTCAACTCTGAAGCAGTCCCTTCCAAACAGCAGTCTTTGAATGCCTTCCTATAGTTAGATGTTTGCTATTCAACACAACGGTTAAAGGCTCAGCTTCCAGAGAACAAATACTTGAGTTTGTATCTCTAAGCAATAAAGAAAACTCTTTGAACACTGTTATTTGCATAAGTCATTACCGAACCTGGAGCTAACCCTCATTCTCCTTTAAGAACAAATAAATCTGGGCTATGATACTCTGAGAAAAGCACATTTCATAGACCCAATGTTTCTGGAAAAACCTATTTCCCATATCTAAAATGAAATTGAAGAAAATATACTACACTTTTGGTGGCTCAAGGATCAAAACTAAATATTCTTGCTCCCTTCCAGGCTCTCTCATTCCTCAGATTACCCTAACACTTCTAACACCTAAGCTTGGACTTACAATAAACCATGTTAAACTCTGCAACAGGACAGATGTTGCTGACATCAGTAAACTAGTTTTTTGATTCTCAAGTGCAGGCGCTACTATAGGCTTAATTCTATATAAATTTATGCTGTGAAGGCATCTCATTTACAAGGGCCTATACCTTACCGCAGGAAGGTGTCTTGCAGCTGGTGAGGCATAGTTGCAAAATCAAATGCACAGTAAGACTGGGGAAGAAAAACTTCCATGTTTTTCCGAACTTCTACAGGAGGGTTAGTCATAATAGGAGCCGCACTGCCAAAGAATGGGTAGGAGTACCTAGAATGTAGGAAACACAAAGTCTTATGGTATAATCTATAGATGACATGAAAGGCTAGATGTTTTGGAAGCATACATTATGAGCAAATACAAATTTTAAGATAAAATAGGAATACTGGTCTGTGCTTTATTTAAAGCGTATCCATTTTATCTTATCATTCCTAGAAAGAAGCAATTTCTGTCATACAGTAGGCACTCAAGAAATGCTTGATAGAATTATTAACCTATTTTCTTTTATATTATAATGTCCTGTTTTATGGGCTAAAACACCCTTATACCAGTGGTTCTCAACCTTCCTAATACTTTGACTCTTTAATACAGTTCCTCATGTTGTGGTGACCCCAACCATAGAGTTATCTTTATTGATACTTAATAACTGTAATGTAAATATCTGATATGCAGGATATCTGATACGTGACTCCTAAGAAAAGTTTCTTCAACCTGCAAAGAGGTTGTGGTCCACAGGTTAAGAACTGCTGCCCTTCAGCAATGCCAAAAGGACACATTCATAGTACTCTGTCTTGAACAGAGATTTGAGATAAAAGAGATTGAATCTATTCCGTATATAGCCAATAAGTGACACACACAATTTCTTCTTTTCATCATACAAATCATATGAGATTAAATATAAGCCTAACTGCTTTAGACCTCTGAATTTAAACACAAATTTACAGATACTGTAATGCTTGCTTAAATTTTATCCTGCTATTCTTTATTTCATCTTGTTATTCATATATGAAACTGTAATCAAATCTAAACTCAACTAGTAAAAAACTGCTTTTCTTACAAAACTATATCCTGTATATCACCCCAATCCTAAGTAACTACTGACTGGCTGAAGCAAGTTATCTCAAAGTTCATGCCCTACAATTTAAACTCCTACCACCCCACTATAGCAGTTAGTAGTTAGAAGAAAAATATCCAAATAGACTGCAGGTTCCGCTTACTTTCAAACACAAGTTTTACCTCACAAATTCTATTACCCAGTTGCATATGTAGAGTATAATGATATACACTTGTTAAGCTGAACAAATTAATCGTCACTACTCTAAAAAGTGCTTTCAATGAATCAAACATCAATCCAGCATCTGGTAACTCCATGTCAAGTGCCAAATATGTCATGACCAAGTGTTTTCCATTTAGAATATTATTTCCCTCTTTCTTCACCAAATGAATTACTATTCTCCTTCATGTGCTGGTTAATTTCTAAATTTGTCATCCTCCTAAATTGATTGATTAGTTTCTCTTAAGTACCATTAATACCAGGTACATCACTGATATAATGTACGCAGTTAAACACTAAATGAATGGTCCTGATAGTAAAATATAGAACAGAAAAATTAATATTTGTGCTTTCTAAATGGGTCTGTTGAAAGCTCCCTCTCACAACATCTAATCTGAGGCTGTACTTATTCCCATGCTCCTGGTCAGCATCCTCTTTGTGTGTACTAAAATCATACTCTGCTGCAGCAGCAAAGATCTTAAGGCAGCAAAGAGGGTAAAAAGACAAACAGTAAAGAAAATCTGTAAGTAATAATTCTATTTCTAAAATAGAGGAAACAAACCCTTCCAGAAAAGCTGTGTTCATGAGACAACCTTTTGCCAGTCTTCTGTGTCTCAACAGGCACATCTTAGTAATAACCCCAAGCATTCTGTATGTCAACTGCAGAATGAGCAGAGGTAGGAAGACTCATTCAGTGACTTCACAACCACACCCAGTGCTTGGTCTCTGCCTCTAGGCATCATTCATACCCAATTATGGAAGATGCAGAAACAACTTTAAAAAGTCAAATGAAAAAATCATCCTCAAGTTTAACTTGACTTCTGCAGCTGAACTCAGTATGCCTCCACTCACTGCATTGTATACATTTAACTTCTACCACAATCTGCAGTGTCTACAAACATGCAGTCTTAAAATAGATGGTTGTATAAAGCCATTTAATTGATTATACACAATTCTTTCTACTGAATGGGCACAGGCACATTTCATTTCAAGTTCATTAGGTATGGTTTTTATATTCACAGCTATAGGATGCAGGTGTTAGGAATATAGCATCCACTGTAATAGTCTTACAGAAAAATCAGATACAAAACCATGCTTTTGACCTGTAGTGCCTTTCTTTTCAGCAAACAAGCAACCAAAATTACATGTAAAATGGCAGCATCAATAAATGATTATAAATGCCTATAACTATTACACCAGAATATGTAAGCCTGCTATTCCCCCACTCCCAGAGCCACTCTGGTTCAAATCTAAGCATTAGGATACTTCACTGCCTTTCAGGCCACTGGTTTCATGACAGCTACATTTTCTTTGGTAATGTTTCTCTGCACCACATTAAAGACGAAAGGCATTTTCCCAGAACAAAATCAAACCTCACCTCAATATGCAGTTGACTGGAAAGCTAAGTTCCAAGCCATGGATGCTTCTTAAGTCTATTGAAAAGCAGAAGTGATGTGATGTTGCTGGAACAGCAATCTTCTGTCCTGATGTCACCATTTCTGATGCATTGGAGGTTGCCACCGGCTGGGCCAGTGAAGCAGGGATGGAACTAATGCCTAAAGTAAACATTAAAGGAAAAATTAACGCTGTCATCTTAAACCTTCAATCACAGAATTTGACAGGTCTGCTTGTGAACATATAAATGAGTCTATCATGAGCATTTTAAAAAGTGGTTTGAGTGGGGCAGTGGTGGCGCACGCCTTTAATCCCAGCACTCGGGAGGCAGAGGCAGGCGGATCTCTGTGAGTTCGAGGCCAGGCTGGACCGACAGCCTCCAAAACAATACAGAGAAACCCTGTCTCGTAACCCCCCCCCCAAAAAAGTGGTTTGTTCTACATTGCCTAATTTCTATTCTAGAACTACATAAAGAAAAAGTTTGGTATGAGGCATGGTAGGACACTCCTAGAATTCCAGCCTTAAGGGCTGAGGCAGGAGAATCACAAGCTTAAGGTCAACTTCTCGGTTTCACAGTGGGAGCCAAGTGACTCTCAACACATACTGCAAAACATCAAAACAAACAGAGCTGAAGCAACAACATCTGACCAAAGCCAGTCAGGTAGTGACTTGGTTCTAAGAGGTATCCATACATGGATGATCACATGAAAGGCTAGACTTAAGATTTACTGTACATATAATTTTAGCATTTTTATAAACTAATTGGAGGTATTTGCATGTATAAAATAGGTCAACAAAAGTTACATCATAGACAAGAGATGTGTAGTCCAATCCTTGTGAACCAGAGATGCTTAATGAGTGACAAAGTCATATAGCTATTCAGTGATAGAGGTAAACTTACACTCTAGACATTTAATTCCTAGTTCACACTGCCTGCTTACACCACTGGTTGTAACTGTAGAGCCTTAGCAATGGATGGAGCATCTTTGTGAAGCAAATATATATGGGACTGGAGAGAGGGCTCTGTGATGATTAAGAGCACATACTGCTTTTGTAGATCAAAGTTCAATTCCCAGTACCTACTGACAAGTGTCTGTAACTCTTGGGGGATGTGCCGCCTCTGACCTCTATGGGCACCTGCACTCACGTACAGACACATACACAAACAACTACACATAATCAGAAATAAAATAAATCTAAGAAAACTAGATACATTCTCAAACTCTTATTACAACATTTACTATACAAAGCTGTTAATGACTATTCTCTAAAATTTAAGAATAAAAAAATCTCAAAAGATATATATCTTTTATTTCTTTTGAACAGACTACTGGCAATATAAAAGTAGAGATTTAGCAAACCTTATTTAAAAGTTTAGTGGGCTGAAGTGACATTAAATTGGAAATTCTATACCTCCACACATTTTTGATTCCCAAATGAAGTTATGCAATTTTCATTAAGCCACCGATGAATGTTCAGACGTTTATTACGTGACTGCAGATCCCAGACCTAATGTGTGGGAAAGAGCATCTCACCTCCCACATTCCGTCTTGGCTCCTTATCGAACTGAAGGCTCTCCACTTCACTTTCTGTTGCATCGTCTTTGGTCGGAGGTGTCTGGTTTTGAGGTGGGACAGGCGACACACTTGGAGATTTTGGCCCAGTGAGTGTCTTCTCCTTTATGGGGGTTAAAACTCTCTTCTTTGAATGCTCAGGCTCATGTCCATTCTGGGTCTTTAATTCAATTAAAGACTAAAAACAATTTTTAAAAGTAAAGTATAATTTGCAAAATACTTCCTTCATAATTAAGCAAAAAACTTGGCGTTGCTTTTTAGAAAAGTACACGTTTCCTTTCCCAGTCTGGACATTCCTAGTCTATTTTTCTTCATAATTTGCAAATTTCCTTAAAGCATCTAGGACCAGAAAAAGGAAGATGAACAGAAAGGAAACATAATATCCAGAGCTGAGTACCAAAATGTACCCTAGCGGCTAAGAAGGGGTATTTGAGGAGAGAGGCCTGCCACGTGACCCTGGGACATCATTCCAACGACACAGTGCAATGGCAGCAGCCCCAGATGTCGGGTGACACTCTTCCCCCTCTTTGTCCCACTCCCTCTGCGCCCTCTTCTCTTCACAAGTGCAGTTTTCAAACTCTCATCTCAGTTTTCCCACCTTTAATTTGTAACCTCCATGTAAATTCTTTGAAAGGACACGACAGTGGGTTGAGTTGTTTATACAGATAGATACAATAAAGTGCCCTCGGGTAAATTTAAAAACAGAAAGAGAAAAATGGCCGAGGAGAGAACAAAGCACGAAGCATCAAGGATCACGCTTTGTGTGGGGCTGTGTCCAGCAAAAAAAGCACCACTGCAGACTCCAAAGCACACGTCCTCCGCACCAGCTGCCTTTTGACACAGTAACTAGCTGCCAGCTAGGAGCAAGAAGACATGGTTCCCACTACAGGAGACTGTCCCAAAGGCCAAGGCCCACGTACAGTCACCAAACTGCCAAGCAAAGTCACTGTGCTTTCTGAAAGAAGGTACGGTAAACACAGGAAGGACCCCAGTGAAGAGTAACACCCTTGTACGCCAAGGATTCTACCAAGGTTCAGGGATCAGGAGTGACACTAGGAAAGTGACAAAGGAAAGCAGAGTCACCACCTGCCTGGGAATCGATGCCTTCTCTCTGCAGGGCCACTGATACTCCCACAGTCGGGGCCAGCTCCAGAGGAACAGGTGCGAGTTTCTGCTTGGCTCGGTTCGGAGGGTCAAGGGTAAAAGCCCCCTCGACTGTGACTGGGTGGTGGTTAATTTCTGCACTGCCCTTCTTCAGCAGTCCATTTAAAGGTATTTCTGTGCTGCCAAGTGACTGGTCTCCACAGCAGAGATGAATCTAACACGAAGGAAAACTCATAAGAGGGCTTTACATTTCCTCTCCTCCCCCTAAATACCAGTAACTTAAACACAGGCCACAGAATGAAAGTAGAAGCGGGTAACTTACTGACCTTCACAGAATGACTTCAAGTGACCCGTTAACACTGGATACTAGTGACTCAGTGTTTTCACTTCTTGAATCACCAAGGAATATTCAGATGTCATCAGCCATGTTTACTCTCATTAGTGAGCTGTGCTTATTTTAATATTTTACTATACATTGATATGCAAATTGTGTAATAAAATGAGTGTACACAGAAATCATTTTTCTTCCATTGTCATCTTAATTAAGCACAGTTCTTAAAAAACAGACAGTGTGTCAACTAGATTTAGAATTTTAAAACCACAAATTTTGTATTATTCACTCATCAAATATATTGAGTGTTCCTTTTCATTTTGCTTTCAGATTTTGTTTACAAAACAGAATATTAAACAATAAAAAATGATGATAGAAAACTACTGGGAAAGAAAACTTTGTTAGTCAACAACAACCAAGCAAGAGTTCAACACCACCCCTAAAGACACCATGTACACATGTATATTTGTTCCTTTACTATGTTCAAGTCTTGGGAAATTGCATACTACATAACAATCACTATCTTCTTTTCCTCTTATAGTAACAGTCACAGAATCAGGGGACAGATAGTGACTTTCTGAGGCAGTGTCTCACTATATATTCAAAGCTGGCCTTGAACTATAATCCTCTTGCTTCTGTCTCCTGAGTGCCAGTAATGTACGTAACCGTAACTGACCTATAACTCAGACTTAATATTAGTGGGTGTGACTTCTTCTGTGAAACCTTTTTCTAGTTCTTACTGTGTGCATGTGGGGAGCGGGGGTACAAACACAGCTTTCTGTGGGTACACAAGCACAATAGCCAGAGGAGAGCGTCCACCGTCACCACTTTCCACCACATTCTTTTGAGGCATGGTCTCTCCTTGAACCTTGGAGCTCATGATTTCAGCCAGCATGCCCGGGTGATCATCCTGCCTCTACTGCCATGGTGCAAGATTACAGGGTGTGAAACCACTAACAACATGTAATACATGGGAGCTGAGACCCAAACGTGGGCCTTCACGGTTGTGTGGCAAAGCAAAAGCTTCTAGCCACAAGCCATCTCTCCAGCCCCAGGCTAGCATCTTTAGAAGACTAGAAAAAAGTCACTACTAGACTATTATGGAACCTTAATGTACTGCGTGAAATAGTTTTTACAGTTTGATTGACTGTTAGTGTGTGTGCTGTATATACGTGGGTGTGAACGTTGAGATCAGAGGACAGTTCTCTGGAGTCTTCTTTCCTTCCGCCTTTATGTAGGATCCGGGGATTTAACTGGTGGCCAGGCTTTTGAGGCCACACCTTTCCCACTGAGCAATCTCACCAGCTCTTATGTACAACATTTTTCATATGCTAGAAACAAAATATTTTCATTTTAAATTTATTTTTATATTCTAAATTATGTGTATATGAGTGTATGTGTGGGGGTATGTACACATGTGAGCACAGATGCCCAGAGTCTAGAAGAAGACATGGGATCTCCTGGAGCTGGAGTAATAGGTAGCTATGAACCACCTGCCATCAGTGCTGTGAAATGAACTCCAGTCCTCGATGAGGAACTTCAGTCCTTGATGAGGGCAGTATAGCCACTGAGCTATGTCTCCAGCTCCAAAACAAAGCACCTTTATAACTTGAATGGACATTGGAAGCAGGTAAGTCAGTGCTCTTGGTAAGAATATGATACAGAATAAAGCTGAAAGTGCTTTTTCTCAAATTGTCATGTTTTATAGTCTCTAGTTTCTAAATATCTCGGGTTTAGCAGAACCATTCTTAAGGTTTAGTACCTCTAACATTTAATGTCCCTTCTCATGAGCCAGCCTGAATGCAGAGTCTAACAACTGAAATTGATTTACAAATGGCTATGGGACAATGCATGAAACTCATACCCTATTACCTGTTTGATCAAAGCCAACTACTATAAGATATACAGAGTAACTTCTACTAGTCTCAAGATCATATTTAGACAGAACCCAACTGAAGCATATTTACAAAGAAAAAATTGTGGGCAAGTTTTATAAAAATGTAAATTCTGCCATGAAGAATAAGTCTACCACCTCCACTAATAATACAAACACCATGCCTGTAGGCACAGGTTCAACTAGCTTTAAGTACTACCACTTGCTATGTAATACCCATAACCAATTTATCTCTTTTCTTAGTAGTCAGGTGGTAATGTGCTACCTCCAAAAATTCTGAAGTAACTGTGATTCCAATGACTTCATGACTTAATACCTAAAAATTCAAAAAGGCAAAACCATCTCTACTACTGAAACATAATACAGGATAAGACTAAGCTCAACTTTACGTCCAATGCTTTAAAAGCATCTCCAGTAGAAAACAATTTGCTGAGGCACTTACCTGCAGTTTGGAATGGAGAGCCAGGTACACACGCAGGACCTCCACACTGCTGCGTATGCGAACAGATGCTCTCTCGGGCTCAAAGTTTGGGTTGATCAAATCATTGAAAGGCTCATTGGTAACATCATTTCCCAGTAAAGAATAGTAAAAGAAAAACTCAGGCTGTCTTTCTGGAAGCTTCATGGTACATGGAATTAACTAAACATGCAAGGAAAAGAAGAGTATTAGACTCTAAGGCACTCCGATTGTGTTTGCTGCATGCCAAAAATCTTCCAAGAATGTTTACTCATTTCAAGTTTTAAAATTAACCATACCGGCCGAGTGGAGGTGGCGCACGCCTTTAATCCCAGCACCTGAGAGGCAGAGGCAGGTAGATCTCTGTGAATTGAAGGCCAGCCTGGTCTACAAAGTTACACAAAGAAACCCTGTCTCAAAAAAAAAAAAAAAAAAAACATACAGAATTTTTAAATGTCTGCCAAGTTACCTTTTTTCCTTCTTTCTGTCTGAATAGTGGTTTCTTTTGGTGGTGCTGCTAGGAGACAAACTGAAAGTCTTACAAATGCTAGGTAAGTCTTTACAATTGAGCTACACCCCTAGCTTCTGGTATTTTTGAGATAAGGTCTCATTATGTAGGGCAAGCTGCTCTGAAACTCATAATCCCCCTGCCTCAGCCCCCTGAGTGGTGGGTTTTAGGCATATACCACACAGTTTACTTCTCTAATTGCTCCCAATTACTAATTTGATTAATTTTAAATGACTTATTTTCACTTAATGTATGTTGAGTGTTTTACCTGCATGTATGTTAATGCAGCATTTACAATTGGTGCCCATGGAGGTTAGGAAATGGCAATGAATTCCCTGGATTAGAACTATAGGCAGTTGTGAGCCTCCAACAGCTGATTCATTTCTCCAGCCCCTAATATTTTGGGGGGATGGGACAGGCAGAGTCTCACTATGCAGTTCTACCTGGTCTGGAACTTGCTATGGAGACCAGGCTGGCCTTGAACTCAGGAGATGCCTCTGTCTCCCTGACTTTAGGATCAAAGACTTGTGCCACCATACCCAGTTACCTAACTAAATGCACAAAGAATTGTGAGGCAAACCTGTAATTCAGTACTTGGCAGTGAGGGCAGCAAGATCAAGGGTTCAAGGACATACTCAATTGCACACTGAGTTTGAGGTCATCCTGGGCTATAAGAGATACTAAGTAATCCATTAGTTAATTTAACAAAAGAAAAGTCCAAAGACACCAAAAACTTTGTTGTTTTCAGGTTCTCATTTCATTCAGCATGAATGTGTGAAAGTTCTTTTTGGAGGGAGCCAAGTCTTTTAAATTAAGCTGTTCTTACTATCATATACTTTGTAACTGGTCCTTATTCTAACAAAGGGCCCCACTTCATAAACGAGAAAATGTTAAAATAAAGAATCTGTGTGTTTACTGAAGCACTGCTAAGCATTAAGCTATGAACGTTTCCTGTCTCATTAGGAAATGCCTTAAATACAGTCAGAGATCATAGATCAAGGAGGATAATTCCATACTGTCATGAAATGAAACTTAAGTAAAATGTATCATTAGGCTTAAGAAGTTATAATACAGGGCTCCAGAGATGGCTCAGTGGTTTAGAGCAGTTGTTTTTCAGAGGACCTAGGTTCAATTCCCAGCATCCACACGATGGCTCACCATTATCCCTACTTCCAATTCCAGGGAATCTGATGCCCTCTCCTGACCTCTGTTCCTGACCTCTGTGGGTAGCAAGCACACAAATGGTGCACAGACATGCATGCAGGAAAAGCCCACAAATGGTGCACAGACAGACATGCATGCAAGAAGAAACCCTCTTTCATATAAAATAAAGAACACCGATTCTGGAGGCAGACTACAACGCCCACTTCTCAGTCTAGCTGTGAAAGCTTGAGAAAACGACTTAGTTGTCTCGTGCCCCCTTTTGCTCTAGTGATGTTGAAAGGATAACACACCATGCCAGTGCCGATCAGAGCTGGCTGACAGTAATCAAGAATGGTACAGTATCTGGAGGAGAGTGCACTATTAACAGTGACTACCTCAAAGGACTTCAGTTAGATGGAGTGTTTACTTTCTTTCATGATGAAAAAACCGATAAAAATGTATTATGGCAGCTTCATATATTTTGTAGTACATTTAACTTCCAAGTAATTCCCACTACAGGCAGAGAATCTTTTAGAAATTCTTTAACACTCTAGAATTCAGAGACACTGGGGTTTACTCAAAGCTTTCAAGACTTTAAAAAGGAAGTAAGATTAGCCATCCAGTACTAAAGGAACAGCCCTAGATCTATGCTCCTGTACCCTCTGGTCAGAACCCTTCGAAGGGCTGCTTTCTCTCTGCCCTTGAGTAAGCGCCGAGAGAAATACTCAAGGCCTTAGTGTCACCCAAATGGAAATGTGACCAGGGAGCAGTCACAACCACCCTTTTCCTTTCCGTGCATAAAAACCGCCAATCTGCTCCTGCCACCGTCCCTGCCATCTACTCTCAAGTCTCCTGCGCGCGGCCTCTTTTCCCTCGGGAAACGCTTCGACCCGAGTAAACCCCTCTGCTGTACGGCCTTGCTCACCACTTTATCACAGCATGGAAAAGTAACCAAGGATGGGGAAAGAGAGCCGCAGAAAGTATGCCCGTTTTCACGCTGTCCCCTGTGCTGTGTAAGCAAGTCCTGACTGAGACACAAGAAAGCTCATCTGCTAGCACCCTGACAGCAGGCGGATGCTTGTAAGCAGACAAACCAAGTGGATTACAATCCCGGACCCAAGTGGCCCTGACGCTGCCATGTCTTCACAAAGTGTACTGCTCAAAAAGCAAGTGCGCACGTTCTTTTCATTCGTCCTTACAATGCCACAAGTACAAGTACAAACACGGTTGACTGATAGTCAGTCTCCGTAACCCGGAAGTTCATTTATTCTCTTGTTGCCAAGATATTGAAATCTACAGCAAAACAAGTTTACTATCATGAAAACGGTTTAAAAGATTCTTGTACTTATGCTTTTAAACATGTATGGGAAGTATGAGTCTGTGTGGGTATGTGCACGTGAAGACAATTGCTCACAGAGGCCAAATATGATTTCAAACTCTTGACAAAACATGAATCTGAAGGAATACCTTACCTGTTCCAACTGAGTGGCAAATGCTATGGTCACTGACAAAATAAAGGGGTCAGTACAATACTCTGCTGGTCCAATCTGATGGTAGCCTCCCTCCTCATTCAACACTGCAACAATGTCCTTCGGGTCGACTCCATGCAGGCTAGCAGGAACTTAACAGACAAAAAGATAAAATTATATTAGAAGTTAACTCCCCATGGACTATTTTATTTTATTACTTTTAGATAGGATTTTGTTATACAGCCCAGTTTGGTTCAAAGTTGACTGTTACCCAATCTGGCCTGGAGCATACTAAGTGGCCTACGGCAGGCTTGAATTCACAATCATTCCATCTCAACCTCTTGTGTGCTAGGGTCACAGGCCCACCTCACGATGCCTGGCCAATTATAAACACTTAAAAGCTTGTTATATTTCATTAACATGGACACGGTATCTCAAAAGGCTTCCTTTAATTTCTTCTAGGAAGCTTTAACTTTATTTTTCTGTATATAAAAACAGTATTTTGAAGTAAAGTATTTTTTAAATCACTTAATAGACCACACAGAAAAAGAATGTAACAGACATGTTTCTGTATGTATCTATGCACTCTGGAGTGAAGAATATGCTAGACGTGGCTAGAGAGAGAGGTAAACAGAGACCAGGGACCATAAGGCAGGTTTCAGATAGAGAGCAGTATGTAACAGAGGCAGGAGCAAGGGCAAGTTAACAAAGTCAGAGAATTGAAGGCTGAGAAAGCCTCCCTCCCGGAGCAGTCTTATAATCCCAGATAAGGAGGGAGCTAAAGGACTCCATGTCCAAGGCCTGCCTGCCTGAGCCATAGGGCTAGTTTAAAGCCAGCGTGGGCAACTAAGACACTGTCTTCAAACAAACAATTACAAAACACGGGCTGATGACACAGCTCACCAGCAGGAACCTACCTAGCATGTTCAGAGCCCACAATTAAATACAGAGACAAAGAGCTGAGACAGGAGTGACAGACCGCTGAGTAAGGACTGACTGCAGAAGAACTGTGGCTGGGGACACAGGACAGACCTGAGCACACTGAGAGTCTCAGATAATTTTTATGGTCTCTGTTTTTTAAGAGTTTGGAAAAATCATCAAAAACTTTTGAGAAGAGACCAACATAGTCAAATGAGCATCAGTGCGAAAAGATTAGATGGGGCTGAGAGGTTTTCAAACTGAGTAAAGGAGGAAAAGAACAGGACATACACAAACTAAAACTAGATAAAAGTGTGGGTGGAAATGCAGGAAAGTGGCTCACGAGCATAAACTTCAGGTGGGAATGTCTCATGGCTTATGAAAATCTATGTCCTCAGACCATCAGCAAGCATTCCCTCTCCTCTAGGGGTGCACCCCAAAGGAGTGTGTCTACTGTAGCACTGGCTGAGAACAGCCTATGGTTAAGAGCACAGACACTCAGGCCCAATACTGAGATCCCAATACCAGGGTCATTTAGTTGTATCAGAAAACTGTGTATTCTTTTCTTCGGTCTCCACTCTTCCTTCCAAAAGCTTTTATGTGGTTGTTGAAGATCAAATTAAACTCTGAAAGCAAAGCACTTAGCCCTATACTGCACACATTAGGCACTTTAACACAGGCAGCTATTGTGAGATAAGGCCAACAGAGCTCAGGAGTTAAAAACAGTATCTATAATGGGTTTCTCCAACTGAGCACAGTGGCTCACACTACAACCCCACCACTTGGATGTTGAAGCAGAAGAATTGCTGTAAATTTGTGGCCAACCTGGGCTACACAGTGAGTACTACATTGCAAGACTGTCTCAAAACAACCAAAGGAAAACAAACAGAAAGCACAGTCAGGAAGACAACCTGTAAGTTTGGAAATAAAGAAAAATAAGGATAAATCTTATGACAGAAAGGAATTAAAAGTGTCAGTTTGAATACATACTATGCAATATTAAAAACATATGGATAGACATACACAAATAAGTATACGTATGCTATAGTTCACGTGTGTCTCTTCTAAAATTCAGGAACTGAAACTTAATGACAACTGTGATGATGGTATTGATTCAGAGTCGCAGAGGGACAGACTCATTGGTTAAGAACACTGGCTGTTCTTGCAGAGGACCTGGGTTCGGATCCTAGCAGCCACATCATGACTGCCTGTAACGCTACTTCCGGGGGACCCAATGCCCTCTTCCTAACTGAGGACACTGCACACATATACAGGCAGGCAAACACTCACTCACAGAAGAAAAAACAGCAGGTGAGATAGAGAAGTCAGGATAGCGTCTTCAAGAACGGGACTAGCTGTGCTCATAAAGGGGCTTGACGGGGGAGTGTGGTAGGTGTGCTGGTGCATGCCTCTAATTCCAGCCCTCAGGAGGCAAGGGCAGAGGCAAGGACAGGCAGATCGCAGTGGGTTTGAGGCCAGCCTGGTCTACACAGCACGTTCTACCCAGTCAGGGCTGCATGGTGAGATTCAATTACAAATACATAGATAAAATTTAATATAATTTTTAAAATGTACTTAGACTTTGTTAAACTACAGTCAAATAATAAAAATATTACATTTGAGGTCTTTTCTATACTCACCCTGGAAAGAAAATTTTTCTAAGTAATTTTTAAAACACAAAATTCTCTGTCCAAGTATCTACCAAGAAACAAAAGCTTTCCCAGATTCTAAGATTTGTAAATGAGAGCGAACCTCTGTAAACAAGCCTGCACATGTTGCATGTGTTCGCAGATGACGTTTGCCTGGTGCACAGGGCAAATCAGCTTACATTCCTGCACACAGTTCCTGCGACATCGCCCTTCCTAAAGTGCTAGTGCAGAGGAACTGTACAAGAAGGACTAAGAGGAAGATGCACGAACTCCATGTGCCAGTGCATACCTAGAACCCAAACAACGAGAGACAGGCAGGAGGGTGAGGGATAACACCAGCCTGGTCTACTTGAAACCCTGTCTCAAAACAAAACAAAACCCCACAAGACACAGAGGATGACAAACCTTTTCCATCCCGAGGAGGGGCTCCTTTTGCTTTAAAACTATCCACCTGTGCCTTCGTATCTGTTTCCAAAGTGATACTTATCTGTATCTCAGACTTGAACTTGGTGTATTTGTTACTCAGCAACTGGTACCACTTGGGTGCCTAATAAGAAAAAACAGAAAGCATGTGAAACTTACAGGGACTTACACAAGCCTGAAAGAGACACAACAGTAAGGCAGTTAAGGCGAGCCTATTGGCATAGCCTGTAGTCTCAGCTGCTTGGGAGGTAAGGCCTGCAAGCTACAGAACGGGTTTGAGGCCAGCAGGGGTAACTTAGTGTAGCTAGTAACACAGCTCAGTGGTAGGATGGGTGTTGAGTTGTTTTGGGTTTTTTTTGTTTTTGTTTTTGTTTTTTCAAGACAGTGTTTCTCCCCAGTAAAAGTGTTTCTCTGTATAGCCCTGGTTGTCCTGGACCCCTCTCTGTAGACCGGGCTGGTCTCAAACTCACAGACATCTGCTGCCTCTGCCTCCTGAGTGCTGGGATTATAGGCGTGCTCCACACCTGGTGGCGGCTGTTGCTGTTTTGAGGCGTTAAGATGCAGCCCAAAGCCTGAGTCAATGCACATCTCAGTACTTGCACATACAACGAGAGCACTGTGGTTAGGTACTGCTACTCTAAACTGTCTCTAAAAAGCATTTATTTTGGCTGATACAAATTTTTAATCATCAGATTTTAGGGTTATTTTGGAGAAGGTCTTAGTATGTAGTCTACCTGATCTTAAACTTGTCATCCTCCTGCCTCGGTCTCCAAAGTTCTGGAAATTATCCAGTTTCATGGGGAAGGGTAGGGAAGGCAGAATGTCCTGAGCCTGGACTTACTTACTAGACACAGCCAAGTAACACGGTTACAAGGGTACAGAACTAGGAAGCAAGGAGGCCAAGCAGGAAGTTATGATAGCCAAGGTACGAAACAATGGAAGCTTTAATTGGGGCAGCAGGTGCAAAATGCAGAGTAGATCCCAAGGGACAAAATCCTCTGGACTGGATGGCTATGAAGGAGGGCACAGGAGGTCCAGATTAGAACTCGGAAGAACGGAGAGGGATGGATGGTCAGTGAACTGAGGCACTGGAGGAGGACAGCCTCTGAAGAGAAGCTCAGCATGCCCAGGGCCAGTGACTCCCCCCAGGTTTGCACTCCTCGAGAAAGACGATTTATACGAGTAAGTGAAAGGCTGACGTTTTCAAATCCAACTCAAAACTGAAGCTTTCAAATCTCTACCTCACCCGGAGGCCACGATCTGCAACTGGCCCAGTAGTCTGCTGTCTTTTGGTATTTATTTAATCAACTATCTATCGCAATAATTAACAGAACCAAAAGGACAATACCTGCTTTGTTTCTTGAGCGGTTCGTAGGTCCAAAACAATGTAGCCGATGCTTTCCTTGGCAGAAGACAGAGGATCCAAGGCGAAACACTGGAGTTTGATAGGAGTGCGCTGTAACCTGTACAAGGTCGTGTGAGAGCAACAGTCTTTATAATTACACTGTTTATAGGAGTGCGCTGTGACCTGTACAAGGTTGTGTGAGAGCAACAGTCTTTCTAATTACACTGTTTATAGGAGTGTGCTGTAACCTGTACAAGGTCGTGTGAGAGCAACAGTCTTTCTTATTACACTGTTTGATAGGAGTGTGCTGTGACCTGTACAAGGTCGTGTGAGAGCAACAGTCTTTCTAATTACACTGTTTATAGGAGTGGGCTGTAACCTGTACAAGGACGTGTGAGAGCAACAGTCTTTCTTATTACACTGTTTGAAAGGAGTGCGCTGTGACCTCACAAGGACATGTGAGAGCAACAGTGAGTCTTTCTTGTATTATGCTAAGTTTCTAGCAGCCTTAAGAAAACTTTATTACCCAGATAATATGTCTGTTGGGCCAACTATTATCTAATTTGTATTTTCTAAATGACTTTTTAACTGGAAAGAACCTTTATTTTTATCTAGTTTTCTGTATACCAACTAAGTCAATTTTTCCTACACCCCTGTGATGTATTGGCCTTCTGCAAGTAAGAAATTACCATGAATGTTTAAGAATGAAAAAAATTATCTTTCTTATAAAGTACTATCACATATAAAAGATACATATTTGCCTATATAGCTTTTTAAAAGGTAAAAATTAAAATTAAAAAGAGGGTTACATGTCGTAAAATCTAACTACTAAAATTTAGTAATACAATACTTGACAATGTCCTGTGGATGCTTTGGGAATTGGGGAAGCCCTATTCCAGCTCACGCACAGAGCGGAATAGATGTTGCAATCACTTAGCTAATGGGATCACTATTTACCTCCCCTTATTACAAAATTCACTTAGGAATTCTTAGCCTAAATAATCAAAGTAGTTTATCATATGGTGCTAATTACAAGAACTCAGCATAATCAAATATTCCAAATGCTAGTGAGAAGACAAAATTTTAACAGTCACTAAGAATTTGATAGTCCTTCAAGTAAATCCATAGTATAATCCAGCAATAAGAGCAGTAAGAATTCTTGCATTTTGTTAATTTCCTGTTCTGACTTGATTTAGTACTAAGGTTATTATGTGAGGGTTTTGATGGTGGTGGTCACTTTCTTTTCTTTTTTTCTCTAGAGACAGAATGCTATGAACCAGGCCAGCCTTGAACTCTTCTTGCCCCCACCTCCAGAGTATTGGGATTAGAGGCAAAGCGTACTATGCCCAGCTTTTAGAAATATATTTTTAAGCCAGGCAGTGGTGGCACATGCCTTTAATTTGGGAGGCAGAGGCAAGCAGGTGTCTGTGAATTAAAGGCCAGCCTGTTCTAAAAAGCTAGTTTCAGGATAGTCAAGGTTACACAAAGAAACCCTGTCTCAAAAACCAAAACAAAAAACTCCTTAAAAGAAAATACATTTTAGTCATTTAATAAAAGTACTGTTGTTCTTGGCTATTTCTAGCCATAAAGTCATAAATGAAAGTAAGGTGTTATACTTTAAGTGCACTGGAGGGGGGAAGACTCGCCCACTGTGGGCGGCGCCACTCCTCAGGTAGGGTGTCCAGAATTGTTTAAGAGTGGAGAAGATGAGCTGAGTACAAGCAAGTGCAAATTAATGCATTGCTGTCTGCTCTCAGCTGTTGATGTACTGTGACCAGCTGCTTCCAGTTTCTGCAACCCTGACTTCTCTACAGTGGCGTCTGGAGCCTGGGGTTGTGGACTCAATTACCCTCTCTCCTTAAGTTACTTTCATCAGGTGCTTTATCACAAGAAGTGAGACCAAGAGAGACCCTGTCTCACACACACACACAAAGCAAAACACTCAATACGATTAGCACCATAGTCAGTAAGTTATGAAATGTAGCTTAAAAGCTATTAAAAAAAAAAAAGACAAAGATGCTGGGACAGTTGAGAGTAGCCTCACCTGTGCTGATGAAGAACTTTCCTGTCAATTTCCCAGGCTAACTCAGTAGCAAATTCTGGTTGGTCAGTATGAACGACAGGGTCAGTAGCCAGCTGCTCTCCATCAAACTTGGCTTCCACCACAAGCATATGCTTTGGACGTTTGGGGAAGTGGCGACCTGAAGAAAGAATGCATGCACACCCAGAAATCACAAACCCTGTTTTAAATATTGGCGTATGTCCAGGTAGCTGGCTTGCACATGGCATAAACTACCTCACAGATACATCTGCGCTTGCTTTCATAAACTGAGAGCTGTAACTTAGCAATCGTTGCTTCTCTAGCATTGGTGTGCATTAAGAGACACCTGGGCATCCTGCACAAATGTAGAGTCAGGCTGGGTAGGTCTAGGTGGGCCTGAGAGCCTGCAATTCTAACAGGTTCTCAGACCGTGCAGCATGCTTGTGACTCCAAATAAGTACATTAAAAAGAAAAACAAACAATAAAATAAATGGCTTAAAAAAGAATAAAACAGGTTCTTGCCCTAAAAAGAAAACCAAGGGTCCAGCGGAAGGAAAAATTTCACGACTGGAAGAAAGTAAACAGCAAATAAGAATCCCTAGCCATCTTGCACTGAGGGAATTATTTTGGTTTTTTAGTCTGGTGAGGGGGATCACAGGGAGGGGAATGTTAACCACTATTAAATAAATAGCCCCTTTCCATGCTATTCCCCCTGATTAAAGCTACTTGGTTAGGAATTAAACGGGCAGGAAGGATCTGGATTTGATAAGATGGCGGCACACACAGATAACCCCGACACTTGGGAAGTGGAGGCAAAGAGTGAGGATGAGATGGGCCCCAAAACAAACCAAAGCCAAAGCCGGGGCCTCTCTGGCCCCAGCAGACGCAAGCTGAAAAGGAACTGCACTGTTTGGAAGCGATGCAGCAAGACACTCACTGTGCCACCGCTGTGACCTAAAGGCCTTCAGACGTCAACCTGTGACCAACCTAGACTAACCACGCAAGGCAAAGTAAAAATGCAGTGTCCAGGCTGAGAGACAGAATAGTACCAGGACTGCCCCAATGAGGCACCTGAGAGATTGCCCAGGGACGGATTCCACAAAGAACCCAGGGGACACTGTTGCAGCGTCCAGTTCAGCTTCAGAATTTCCACAGTCACAAAATAAATGCTCTGGTTTTGAAAAGAAAAGAAAAAGACCCGACTGCAGTCTTCAGAATGTTAACTAGAGACGAGAGACTGTTAACAGCTTATCTGCTGCTCAATCATGAGGCCCGGAGTTTAGAGTCACAAGCCAGGCTTCCTGTAATCACAGCTCCGATTCCATCAGCTGCAGGACAACGGGATCACTGAGGCTTGAAGCTTCACCGAGAACAGATAGAGCAGTTGAGGTGACCCAAAACTGGCTTCTCGTCCCTAGAGGCATGAATAGGAGTGCACAAACACACAGATACAAATATAAAGAAAGAAACATGAAATCGTCCTTTAAAAACGTCAGCCAGAGGGTCTTATTTAAACTCGGTGCTGGTTAGGTTTTTGCCAACTTGACATAAGCTGGAATCATCTAGGAAGAGGGACCCTCAGTTGAGGAAATGCCTGTCAGACTGGCCTGCAGCTAAGTCTGTGGGACATTTTCTTGACTAACGACAGTTGTGATGTGGGCCCAGCTGCCTCTTGCAGGTGGTCCTGTGTGGTATACAAGGCAGGCTGAGGATGTCATAGTGAGTAAGCATCTTTCTCTGGGACTCTGCTACATACAGTTCCTGCTCTCACTCCTTCAATGATGAACTGGGACTGGAACACGTAAAAAGAGATAAGCCCTTTCCTCCCAGCTGCCCTTGGCCAGTCTTTATCAAGGAAGAGGTAAACAACAGAAGCCTGCTTGCTTTGTTGCAGTTTGGTTTTTGTTTGTTTGTTTGTTTTGCTTTGTTTGGTTCTTTATCCTGAAACCAAGCACACCATGATTTGGACTGATAGAGAAACTCAGTTCTAGAAATTCATTTCTAGAAATGTAACTAAGAAATTTTAAGTAGCTCAATACAACTGGAGTCCTGAGGACATATGAAACCTAAGGGGTGGGAAGGAGTCTTACCACAAGGGGCCATGTGTGCTACTCTAAGAGTACAGACTTTATGGGAACTCTGGAAGATTTTAAGACAAGATCTGTGGATCAGAAGGATCATTGCCAGGTAGTTCAGGAAGGAAAGAAAATGTGTAGAAAACAGACTGAGACCGTCACTACAGGTGAGGTGACGATACGTATGAAGCTGGGCACACAGTGGAGAATCATCTGCGCGTGTGTAGCACCATAATAAAATCAACAATTCTTGGCGATCCTTCAGAAGGTGGTGACGAATCCCAGGTTCTTGGCTTGAATGTAAACACGACCAGAGATGGGGAGAGGGCTGCATGCCGGTTTTAGGTATGTTTGTGGTAGCAACCTAACCGACATCCCCGACTCCACTTTCCTGAATGTGATTCCTAAACCAAACGTGAGTTAAGTTCATTCTTTCAGTTAGGACCACAGCCACAGCCTCAGCCACCAACCCTCCTCCTAGAATGACAACTCTTAACTCTGTGTCTCGGGTCCTCTCATGGTCAGCTCTTTCTGACCACGTAGAACGTACCTACACATTCCCCGCTCTCTACCACAGCCATCTTTCCGCCTCGGTCCACCCACCACATTCATTCCTGGAACCCTGGTTTATCCAATCACCATAACAACGTTCCTCCATCCTTGTCTGCCTGAAGCTTGGGACGCAAGGCACTTCAATCTCTTACCCCTACTCTACTGCCAAAGCCACATTTATGGTCTGCATCGAGTTTTTGTCATAGTGCTGCCCAACGTGTGGCGTCTTGTACACTGATTTGCCCACCCCACATAAACAGACCCCTATATCACGGAAGGCAGGAAATCACAACCTTTTTTTTTCCATAGAGAAGGCCCAATTCTAAATTTAAAAGCCTCTATCAACCAACTAGAATATTATTTCATTCTGGGGAAGGTGTTTATTAGTGAGTTTATTTGTTTTGTTTTGGTTTGGTTTGGTTTGGTTGGTTGGTTGGTTGTGACAGTATACCAGGTTGGCCTCGATCTCTCGTAGATCCGCCTGCCTCGAGTGCTAGGATTAAGGACATGAGCCAGCCACTCCGGCTCAGGCTCCACAATGTTAGCTTCCGGTCAATTTCTTATTCCAAAACTCAGAAACTATTTTTATCCTGTTTTCCCTCCCTCTTCTCAAATAGTACCAGACCTCTCTGTAGCTAAATTCTCACGAGGACTCTGCATACTGATAACCTGCTCCAATTAACTGAACAACTATCAACTCCACTTCCCTGCAATCTGCTAACTACACTGAACAGAAGCAAGGTTTACGGAATGCATCTGAGAGCACGCCTTTCCGCACGCCTTAAGCACTCAGGGCAGCCAGGCCATCTGTCCAGCCTTTTGTCATCTGACCCATTCCTTATTAGCTTTCAAACCCAAACACATGACATCTCCTCAGGAGAACATTCCCCAGGAGAGGATGTCATGCCGGCGTGACACACTCCTCACCACTTTACCCATAGCTTCTAGACCTAGAGCCACCTGCACTTCCGGCACCGCACCTGACATTCGGTAAGTCCCCGATAAGCAAATGTCACTCACTCAACAAACACGTAAGGATCGCTTAATACACCTTAATGACGGTAGTCCCCTGCGTACGCCATCAAGACACATAGAGGGAACAGTCTCCGCAATACGTCTGAGAGGGTGAATTCAAGTCCATGGCAAAGTTCTTACAAATGGCATTAGCGGGGACTGCTGCACAGAACATGCTTTGCAGGCACTTTCAGCTCATATATATATATATATATATATATATATATATATATATATATATATATATATATATATGCCATTGACAGGCCGCTTCTGATGGAGATCTTTTTTTTCTACATTCTCTGGGGCTACGGCTAGTCACGCTAAATATCACTTATCCCTAATAGCACTCACGTTCCCCGGAGAGATGTCTAAATCAATTGCCTAACAGCCCTCGCTCCTTGCAACTGAACGAGTCTTCGGGGACCGCAAAAGCGGGGAATGACAGGGTTCGTGAGGTTAACAAAGCCGCGGTCACACATTACTCGGCTGAGGTCCAGGAATCAAGCAGTTGCAGAAGAAGAAGAAAAAGAGGAGAAAAAAAAAAAGACAACGGAGGCTGCTCACCTTCTAGGATGGACACGACGATGAGCAGCTGGTCCGACTTGAAAACCATGGTCGCGGCGGCGGGGTCTAAAGGGAAGAGACCCCGTGAGGCGCGCAGCCGGACCCCGCAGGCCTCGAAGGCTCCGCAGCGCCCGGCCCCGCTCCCCCGGAGCCGCCGACCAGACCCTAACCCTGCCCCGGCTCGGCGACCGAGCCCCGCACGCCCGCAGCCCCGGCACCTTTTTGCCGCCTGCTTAGCCGCTTTTCAAACGCCCCGGCAGCCACAGCGGACGCCGCCGCGCCCCGCTTCCGCCTAGCAACCGGGCCCGCAGGCCCAGAGCCCGGGGGAGGCTGGAGGACAAAGGGCGATAGAGACCAGGGCAGTCGGAGATAGAACGTCCACCAGCCCGCTAAGCCTCCCGCCCTTTGACGCTCTTTCCCAGAGCCCTAGGGAAACGCTACTGCATTCGCCCGCAGCGCCACCTGCCGGTCTGCTGCGGAAAGGCAGGAGCACCCCCGCCCCTCCCACCCCCACCCCTCCGCTGGCTGCGCAGCCGCACCACAGCCCTAAACGCTTCCTGGTGCCGGAGGAGGGCCGCGTATCTGAGCGTTTTGCTCAGTTTGCATCTGAGAAATGAAACTTTTTTTCGAATGCTAGTTCTCAGGCTCCTGACATCAACAGAACTGAATGCAGTAAGTCACAGGGAAAATAATGACCTGAGTGTGAACTGTGCTTACGCCATCTCTTTAAATATCTGCCCTATGAAAACACGTAGTGTCAATACGGTGGTTACTGTAACTGCTGGCGCTGACGTAATCCCTCCCCGAATAGGCTGTACCTTAGAAATACCTCTCTTAAAAAAAAAAAAAGCCAAAAACATTGTCACGTGGGCGAGGTTATTTAAAGGTGTAGCTTCTATCCAGATATACTAAATTAGCAAAAATCAAGGCCGAAAGTTAAGGCGTGGACACGCCGTGAACACACGTTTCCCCTTCCAATTTCAAACTTGTTTTCAGGAAAGATTAGACGTGTTTTGAAGATTAGCTTACTGCATACTGCTAGGGTTAAAATGGGTAAGAATTTCTCTTGGAAAATCAAAAGTAAAGCACAATAACAGATGGTAGGGCAAAAAGTAGAACAGCTGAAGCGAGATCTCACGCGGCAGTGGGCTTCAGAGCGCTGGCTGCTTTCTTGCTCCGTAAACATGGAAGACATCTTGAGAATAGTTATAATAAAATCCGAGTCCTGTTGCTGTCCTCTCTGCACCGCTGCCTTTCTCTTCTCTGTCCCCAGAAGAAAATGATGTGGAGGCTACATTCGATTATCTCTAACCCCTTTAGGACACCTGAGAGGCTCTTCTGAAATGTGGTATTCATAGAAAACTACATATGCATTGTGCATTGTTGAGCACTGTGTTCTTTTGTGGAGGACCTAAATAATAGTATCAAAAGTAGGCATGCAAAGTAGGTTTCTTTTCCTATTAAAGGTGTGACATTATTATAGTTATCTTTTTAGGTGAATAATCTCAACCTAGTCACTATAAAAACTTTTTATAATTTATAATTTTTTAATTTAAAAATACATTTATTTTCCTTTAGGATATCCATCAAGGCTGAAACCCCAGATTAGGTTATCAGTATATGCCAGAATAGTCTCATAAAAAAAATCTGTAAAATGAATCAAATGAACTAGGATGAGGGAACAGAGAGACTTCTGCTCTGCAGTTAACAGTACTGGCTGCTCTTCCAGAGGACCTGAGTTCAGTTCCTGGTATCCATGGGGGCAACTCACATCTGTCTGTCATTCCAGCAGGATGGGGATCCAATGACCTATTCTGGCCTTCTCAGGCTCCTGGACACACATATGCATACATGTGCGCACGTGCGCGCGCGCGCGAGCACGCACACACACACACACACACACACTCACACACACCATTTTTCTTGTAGTAAAATTTTTTTAGATAGCTCTCTTTTCAAAAATACTGCATTACATTTTGTGAGTGTGTGTTTGTGTGGTGTGGGGGGGCCACACTTAGAGGTCAGAGGACAACTTCTGCAAGTCAGTTCTGTCCTTCCACTATGTAGGTCCTAGGGATAAAACCCCAGTCATGAGGCAGGCAGAAGCTTTTACTCACTGAGAAATCACCGTCCCTGTTCCAGCTCTCTGCATCCGGATTTCTTCCCTAAACAACACTATCATTTGTGAAATCACCTCACTGGAGTTTCTGAAAAGTCGTCAATATCATTTGCATGCTGCCTTTATTTTCACAGACTGTACACACTTGATGATAGGACAGTTGCCGTCTAGCATCTAAACCCATGACTCTGTAATCTAATTCCCTTCTTGTGCTCTAGTGGACAGTAGCAGCTTTCGTCCTGGCCTAAAGTATCACGTGTTAGGTTAAACACATGAGAGGAAATTTTATTATAAGTTTATGAAGTACCAATTACTGTCTCCAAATACATAAGAAAATGTTTACAGCATCTGTAACTCGTATCCATGAGACAATGGAAGAGTCATCACACTATGAGCATATAAGTACACAAATTCAAACTGACAGGTACTGAATTCATTAGTTTGCTAATCATATTATGTAGCTTTCTATTTCCATAAATTTCTGCAAACGAAGGGGCATCTTGGTTCACATCAAGCCTTTCTTTTTCTACATCTGCTTCACATTTTAGATAAACCCTACATTGTAGCATTTTTATGTTTCATTTTCAACAATGTCTATGGCCCAACTCAGAAGAGATTGCAAATTTTATTAATATTTTCCTTTTCAGCCCATCCCCCCTGTGTATCAACAGACCCGGATATATATTTAATAAAATTAAAACAAGCTCCCGGGACTAATAAAATCAACATGCTTATTGAATAGCTATCTAAAAAAAAAAAACATGGTATTAAAACCTGACCTTCGAGAACTGCTCAGAAGAACAGCCTCCATTTGGAAGAAGGAATGGGCTGGGTATGGGGGCATACTCCCTTTTAGTGTTCAAAAGGCTGAGGCAGGAGGGATCCTATAAATTCTACGCCAACCTAGGCCACAGAGTGAGACCCTGGCTCAGAAACAGAAAGACAACCTCTCCAAAGCTCAGGGAATATCACTGAAGAGAAGAGAGAGAGACTATGAGAGAAACAGAAAGACAACCTCTCCAAAGCTCAGGGAATATCACTGAAGAGAAGAGAGAGAGACTATGAGAGAAACAGAAAGACAACCTCTCCAAAGCTCAGGGAATATCACTGAAGAGAAGAGAGAGAGACTATGAGAGAAACAGAAAGACAACCTCTCCAAAGCTCAGAGAATATCACTGAAGAGAAGAGAGAGAGACTATGAGAGCCTGAGAATAAGGTGGACGGTGGTGTGGCATGCTGGTGTGACATGACCATTGTGCCCATGAACTTACTGCAGTAGACCTGCGCAGGGTCAGGGAGACAAGATTAGCCTGCATTCTGGCAAGAACTGGATTCATTGATTGCAGGTAAAAGACAGACAGACGTGAAGGGAGGGGGCAAACATATTGGAGGGTGTTGGGGGGGTGAGAGAGAAGAGTTCGGCACACAATCGAATACATCATTTACTTGTATGAAATTGTCCAAGAATAAATGAATTCAAGAGAGAGACAGGAAGATGAAGAGTAGTGGGGGGACGGGGCGAAAACACACCTGACTTAGTACCAAGGCAAATGGCCCTTTAAAGCAGCATCCTATATAACCAAATGCCACAATTGATTGGAATGTCTTTAACTCCTTGAGAAAGAGTCACTAATCCCCACTGGAGATTGCAGAGCTCACCATCAGAGAGTCAGGGTCTGAGTTCCGTGACTTCCTCCCTTTGCGACTCTGCCATGGAGTTTTGCTCAGAGACTCAGCTCTTCCATGAATAAAGCAAGGTTTGCTGTTCATATCTCACTGTTTTGCCCATGTGTGAGCGTGGGGTGTGTGCCGGTGTATGCATGTTCACGTGTGTGAGGGCATGTATACAGATGCAAGTGCACATAAACGGCCCCATGAATAGGCATCGTGCTCAATGGCTGGCCACTTTATTTATTGAGGCGGGGTCTCTCACTGAGTATAAGCTCACCAATTCTGGCTAGTCTAGCCTGTCTGGCTTTTACATGTGCCCTGGCGATCTGAACATCAGTCCTCCTTCCTTCAAAGCAAGTGCTCTTTCCACAGAAACATCTCTCTCACCCTCACGTGACAGCATCCCGTCTGGGCAGGACCCATACATAGTTAAAATCTCCGAATATTGCGGGCTTTTGTTTTAATATGAAAAGATCATTTGTTAAGGTGTTATCGTCAGATTTATCCCTTCTCTATTTCTGCAAAGAATAACCAAATTCTTTATATTTTCTCATGTTGGCTTAGACCCATATCCTTGGAGTAATGTTCCCCAAACAATCTTTCTCTTTGGTTATATGAAGCCAGAACCTCTCGGTAGGTCAAAACTGGAAATGAGTGGTGGCCAGGCAGGGCCTGAGCTCAGGCAGATGCCACAACTGTGGAGGCGGCGGCGGGGCCTGAGTGAAGGCAAGCGCCACAGCTGTGTAGAAGGTGGCTCTACCCCAGCTGATTGCGGGCGCGTGGTTGTTTACCAAGATCTTCCACTTTTCACGAGAAGCCAGAATTACAGATTCTTCTGTGAAATCATCCAATTTCTAAATGCTGGGAATGAGTTTCAGCGTAAAACAACAACAACAAAATGTGCTGCCTGCAGGCTCGTTACCTCTAGTCCAATTTTGCCTAAGTGCTTATTATAACTAGTGTCTCCAGAGAGCGAGGAAAAGTGTAATCAGGAAGAGGTTGCCTAAAACTGGGAAGGAAAGGGCTGAGTGGATGTGGTGGAGATTAACATTGAACTTCCTGGATGGATCCCTTGAGAGCAGGAAAGAAATGGGGATGAAGACAAAGATTTGCTATCTTGGCCTCAGTTTACTTTCTGCCTCCGTGGGACAGAATCAACAAACTCACTAGACTTCCAGGAACCAAGTGGGTTCAGATGTTTGCCATCTCATCAGTGACCAGCATGGGAAAACCTGGCAAGACTTCCCCCAGCACCTGCTCTCAATGAGAACACAACACGTCAGTGGTGTATTCTGTTTCCAGGCTGGAAAGCCAGTGATGATAAGGACCAGCTTTTGGGTTACGTGGAGCTTGGGAGGAACCTAAGGGCATAAATAAAAGCCACCTTTTTGTATGTTGTCCTTGTGATGTCACCTTTAAGGGGTATGTCAGGTGTGAATAAGCTCTGGAAAATCCTGTCATGTTTGTCACGGTGGTTCTTTCGAGGGTAGGTGTAGAGTGGAGGGTGAGAGAAGGTTTCTTACTCTGCAGAAGAAGGCAGATCTAGGGAAACTTCTGGAACTGTAGTGA